GATGAAATTGGCGCAATTGTGCGATTGTTTTATTGGCGCAAATAGTTTTCAAAATATAGTGGCGCATAAAGTAGTATTGGCGCAAATAAGTTGTGGCACAAATGATTTCGTTTTTGGCACAAATAGATATCGGCCATCAGACAATAACCAAAAAACTAAAAAAAAAAAAAATTCTAAACATAATGATAAGGTAGTCCAAAATAAAATGGAATGTCCTCTTTGCGGACAGAAATATGCAAAATTCATCAATTCATCAACAAAAAAAATACCAAATGCATCAACAATTCTAGTTTGTGCAAACGATTTTTGATGACTTCAATGGTTAGAAGAAATTTCTTCTCTGAAAGAAACAACAAAATTAGAAACTTGCGTAAAACTACTGAGAATATTCCACGACAGAAATGTCTTGTCTCAGACCTTAGAAGAAGTACATAGAGTGGTCAGTTTAATGGAAGAAATCTCTATTATTCAAGACAAAATAAGTCATTGGAGCAGTAAGTTCACTGGAAGAAATTTATTTTATCAGACTTATGACGAAGATATAATATTTATGGCAGTTATTAGTAGCTATCAAAGGTACCAGGATTATAATTTAATACGCCAGACGCGCGTTTCGTCTACATAAGACTCATCAGTGACGCTCAGATCAAAAATATTTATAAAGCCAAACAAGTACAAAGTTGAAGAGCATTGAGGACCCAAAATTCCAAAAAGTTGTGTCAAATAGGGCTACGGTAATCTATTCCTGGGATAAGAAAATCTTTAGTTTTTCAAAAAATTCAAAGCTTTGTAACAGGAAATTTATAAAAATGACCATATAATTGATATTCATGTCAACACCGAAGTGCTGACTACTAGGCTGGTGATACCCTCGGGGACGAAACGTCCACCAGCAGGGGCATCGACCCAGTGGTGTAAATAGTTATCAAAGGTACCAGGATTATAATTTAATACGCCAGACGCGCGTTTCGTCTACATAAGACTCATCAGTGACGCTCAGATCAAAATAGTTATAAAGTCAAACAAGTACAAAGATGAAGAGCATTGAGGACCCAAAATTCCAAAAAGTTGTGCCAAATAGGGCTAAGGTAATCTATTCCTGGGATAAGAAAATCCTTAGTTTTTCGAAAAATTCATAGCTTTGTAACAGGAAATTCATAAAAAGTTAGTTCGTTGGAAGAAATTTTCTTCTATCAAACGTAATGTGAATTACTTCGAGCTGATTGCTCGTTTAAGAAATTTTTTCTATCAGATTTAAACCTAAAATAAAATATTTAATCTGAGCCGTTAGTTCGTTGGAAGAAATTTCTTCTATAAAACCCTCATTTAGATCTAAAATGAAACACATGTGGCTGTTAGTGGGTTGGGAGAAATTTCTTTATCAAACCTGACTTAAAATGTATAATATATGTGGCATGTAGCATGTTTAGTAAGTCGGAAGAAATTTCTTCTATCAAACCTTCAGTGAAATATTTGAAGCAGTTAGTCCGTTGGAAGAAATTTCTTCTATCAGACCTACATGTAGATCTAAAATAAAAAAAACATGTAGCTGTTAGAAAGTTGGAAGAAATTTCTTTCAACAAACTATCAGACTTAGACCTAAAATACAAAATCTTAATTAGAATATTTGGAGCACTTACTTCGTTGGAAACATTTCTAGCTTTAAATAAAGTTAGATCATTGGTAGAAATTCTATTCACTATGAAGCAAATAACGTGACTGTGGGTAACATTATAATACCCAGGAACTGGTCAGATGACATCATGTACGCGTGGCAATTTATTTTCAAATCACATGAATTTACCTGACATTTTGGCATCAAACAGTATAAATAAAGAAGTGTAGCTGAACATAATTAGGTATGGATTTGTTTTCCTATTTTGGGGAAGGGTATTTTCGAGTCATACAACTTTAAATTTTAATAAAAAAAAATCCTGTTTGACAAGCAAATAATTATTTTTAAAAAGCATCACACCTTTGCACAGACAGAATAAGAATGATCGGTGCGTTCGAAGGATATGCCCACATTACATTTTCTAATTTTAAAAACAAAAGAATTGTTGAATATTTAATTGCATTACCTGTCCTCAGAGATACTCAAAATGTTAGAGCGTTGAAATACAATACTGTTATGAGGAAGTTAATGATACATGAAAGCATGCTGATTAATCGATTCAAGTAATGACAGCTGTAATAAAAATCAAATGAGCATGTCTTTCTATACGTTAAAAAATTGCAGTACATGTTCTTCAAATATGTCATTTAAGGCTAAAAATAAAACTTTGATAGAAGACATTCCTTTCCACTTGCTAACTGCTAAAAGTATTTCATTTTAGGTGTATGTTTGATAAAAAGAAATTTCTCCCATCGAACTAACAGCTACATGTATTTCATTTAACATGTTTAAGATCTAAATGTAGTTTTGATGGAAGAAATTTCTAACCATCGAAGTTATCAAAAACAGGTTACAAAAATTGGCAAACAGTTGATGTATTTGCACTTTTTTTGGTTAAATTAATGATTTTTTGCATATTTCAGTACGCAAATAGGACATTCCTGGGTTTTCCTCTTTTATTTTGGATTGCCTTGATCAATATTTAACATTCGTCAGCAATACGCAATGTTATTACAGTCAATATGACATGTTAATTGAGGAATTCAGTCCAATAGTTGTGAATAAAGTAAAAGAGTGTTATCAATCCTAAATGCTTGGTGGGTAAAAATACAGTAATCAGGAGTAACCTTTTTTCGCATTAAACCACTTTTCAAAAGAAAATTAGAAAATGGCTCCTGACAGTATTTATAAGAAACTGTTTTTTTTGTTGTTTTGTTTACGTAGCTGTCTTACTTGCACTGTGTCTCGCTTGAGATTGCTGCTGTCGCTGTAAAAGTGTAATGTTGACTTAAAAAGTGTGTACAAGTATTGAAACTTTTTCTTTAGATGCTATTTATTGGTCTTGAAGATTAGCTTCTGTCCAAGTTTCATAACAATCCATGAAGGTTTACAAAATTTATCATGTCAAAAAAAAAATAATCCCAGACAGTCTGTAAATGTTAACTACAAAAAACGAAGTCCATCTATCATGTCTATCAGAAAAATACAAAAATGAAGAGAATATATTTTCAAAGGGTTGCTTCAGCAGAAATTATCTTTTCATCATAAAAAACTTCTGCCAAAATTTCATAAAACTCTGTGAAGGTTTAACAAAGTCATTGATGTGTACCAAACTTTAACCCAAGAATGAACAAAGTCCCCATAAGTATAAACCCCCAAAGACTCTCCCTATTGAATAAATTGAAAAAAAGTTCAAGGTCAAAAATCAAGGCATAATTGATCATTGACCTTTCAAAAGGCCATATGTTCCCATGGTCATTACTTAAGACCCCATTTGTCTATAACTAACTGTTCTCAAGTTATAATCATTTGAAATGATAAAAAATCTTAAAATCCCATAGGGTTCTATAGTAAACCCTTTCCTTCTTTTGACCCCTCAAAGTACCCCTTAATAGACCCCAATGCTCAAACAAAACCCTGATTGCACCACTAGACATGTTAGTCTATTTAGTAACATACTGAGTAAAAAATTGCCAAATTTGGAGAGGGGCAATACATAATTTTGTCCCTAAATGTAGAAAGGGACAATAGCCGGCTCCAATGCTAGTGCTGTCTAATTTTACCTAACATTTCCTGTATTATAGTTTGCATACCAACTTAATCCTAACAGACAAGACAAAGATGATGTAAAAACTGCATGCATGAATAAAGTGCTTCAAACATTGGATTTAGTAAATAGCGATGTTGTACAATTTGAGTTGTTTTGTCTAAAAGACTGCATTTTATGCACCTATCAAAAAAGGTTAAATATCTGTTATTAGTGGAATATTTCATGAAAATGAATATCTTGATATAATGCACACTCTTAATATATTATACCCTATACAATATAAAAGTTTAAGTTGTAGGACGAGTTAGTAGAGCTTGCACCCTGTATGCAAAATTTCACTAAAAAATACAAAGTTCAACATTCTGTCATTGTTGAAAATCCCGAGAATATACACCCCCTTTTTATATGTGGAAACACTCTGCATTATATTGACTTGAGTTAATTTCAATATGATAATAAACGAGCCTTCGTGGAGTTTATTATCACTATTTAAATTAATTAACGAGATTTGACATCAAGCGGTATTTTCACTAGTTGTTTAACCTATTTCACTTATGGTCAACACTTTATGTGTTAAATTAAAAATTCTGTGAATCCTTGATCTAGTCTTTTGCACATACCAGTATGATATCATGTCTCCTTTTCCGTCGTAAAACTTTGACATCAGACATTTTAAAACTTTTGTACGCTTCAGAATGTAATAAAATTTGACAAAAAGAAGATTTCCAGGATAAAAATGTGAGTGTTTCAAGAAACATATGTCTATTAACGAAATGTACACGTCTTATTAACCTTTGAAAGTTATCAATGACTTACCAAATAGCCAATGGAAATGTTGTTATATCATCTTATGGTGCTGGATGAGCCAATCAAATTAACGCAGTTTTCGTATCACACTCCATGCAGTGTGATACGAGAAATATCTCTTCATGCAAGAAATAGATAACAAGCCACAATCATAAGAGAATACCTCTTTATAAATTTTTGCATTCAGGGCGCTTTTCTATATTTACTTTTATTAACCAACTGACAATTCATTTAATGTGGGGCATGGGTTTTCAAAATAGATTGTTTGATTTTAAATTTCTAGAAACTCATTTATTTATGTTTCAAATGAAAACAGTGATTTTCAAACTAAATTCTCTTTCTGTATGTTATTAAACCAATCTTGTTTGTCCCAAGCAAAAATCCATGTCCCCCCCCCCTTTAACACACACACAAAAGATAAAAATGAATGGTTTGTACCTAAATAATTATCTAGCTATTATTTGTTTAACTACAAGAAGGAGATATGTGTGACTGATGCTGTATTCTAAGAAAAAATATATATGTGTATTGCATAAAAACAAAAAAGATTGTTATATATTGTAGTATATTTATCATCAAAATATATATATGATGCATCACAGACAATACGTGGACGGATGTAATATTCTACAAAAAAATAAAATTTGTTTACTACAATGTAAGATAATGTAATATGTATGCAATTGTCTTTAAATGATATCAGTGATAATATGGTTACCTCAAAAATATTATACTTTTATCTAAATTGAGATATACCTTGGACTGCAATTTTCAATTATAAAATAGGACTGTATAAACTAGTGCCACATATTACAGACCACAATGAACAATGTATAGTTCATACAGGGTTTTATGTTCAATATCTGTTACCGTAATAAATGTTTTTGGTAATAAACATTAACGATTGACGTAACAAACATTATATCATTTACAAAATTTTTCTTACAAAAGATTAATTCTATTTTGACTGATATTGTATAGATGGAAATCAACAAGCTGTTGAAATAAAATCTGTAACAGTGTACTCTGGTAGACTGTTCTTAACATGCTTGATTCATGTACTTTGATTTCAGCTTTATAAATAAATCCATAAAAAATAAGAGCAAAATTTGCTGAACACAGAAAATCACCAGGTATATTTCTTTGATACCTGTATTCATTTATTCATACTATAAAACTTTAAACCCTTTATTGTATATTAATAACACTTACAAATTTATCAATGCCAAATAACATGTCATTTTGATTTACATACACAAACAAAGTCGACTTTTATATACTACAAACTGTGAGTCTAGAAATTCTTTTTAAAAAAATTGTCCAATATAAAAATATGAAGATGTGGTATGATTGCCAATGAGACAACTCTCCACAAGAGACCAAATGACACAGAAATTAACAACTATAGGTCATCGTACAGCCTTCAACAATGAGCAAAGCCCATACCGCATAGTCAGCTATCTAAGGCCCCGAAATGACAAATGTAAAACTATTCAAACTATCTAAGTTTGTTCCACCACATCATTTGCTTAATGTCCTTAACATTTCAATACATTACCGCTTATAGTGTTAACGAACGTAATCATAGAAACAAAGCATATGACCAAACCTTATACATGTACAGCCAAAAATATAGTGTAACCAGCTGCTAAGTGTAGGTCCTCAGTTTGAATAAGATAATTGTTTATTTGAATATTTCTTTTCCTTTACTCCATCAAAAGCATTCCTTAACTCCATCAAAAGCATTCCTTAACTCCATCAAAAGCATTCCTTTACTCCATCAAACCTTTACTTCATCAAATGCATTCCTCTAACACTTTTATTGTAATGCAACAACATTCCTGGTAAAATGTATCCTACAGTTAGCATGCACTATTCGATGGAAAAGCACTTGTGTAATACTGCTTAAAAACACTTACATCATCAAAACATAACTTTCTAGTCATTTCAAAAGTTTTGCAGTACATGTTGTACAACAAAAAGGTTATTGCATGAATATTAGTGAAAAATATTCCAATAAATTGTCCTTTGGACTTTCGAGATCATGTAAATATAATATTCTACTTAAAACAATTTTCACCAATATTGGTGCAATAACCTTACAGAATATCATACAAATTTAATTATTTCTAGCCCTAAAATATAATTTGTTCATCATCAACATATTCCTGGTCCTGATATTCATCACACAACTTTTTCCACCAGGGTTGCCGTAGTAATCGTAATTGTTCAATATGATTTGTTTTTGCTTTAGTTGCTACTGGTAACAAACTACTTGAATACATTTCTACATCTTTATCTGTAACGCTGTTTAATGGTGGTGCCACTGAAATTTAAGTAATAAAGTAAAAAATGCATGTAAAGAAAGACACAAAAAAGCAAAATTTAGGAAAACAAATAATTTCAATTTTAAGAATGTAACTTTAAAAAAATGTAATATAAAAAAACAATATCAAGAAACAGCAACAAAATAATGAAACCATGATTTAATGATTTATTTATAGGTACAGTTTTCAATAGCTATGTTATCTATAAAAAAAAATACTCATACTGAGACATAGTCAATTTCTGCTGAGTTGGCATTAAACTGACGTTTACCAATCAGCTGTTATGAGTCTGGAAAAGTTGGAAATAAATTTAACAAAGAGCTTTCATCAATTTTGATAGCACGATGTTACAAACAACTACCACCACTGTTGAAATACGTGGCATTTGACAGGCATTTTACAATTAGTAAGGTACGACTAATAATGGAGCTTCTTTCAAATAATTTTGTTGGTTTCCAGGCTGAGCAGCTCCTGTCCAAATTGACATTATTGTCCCCCGCGTTACACGTTGCAGGGGACATGGAAATACTGGGCATCCATCCATCCGTGTGTCCGTCCGTCCGGTATTGTATCGATCTCACAGGTACAATTCTTGCCAGATTTTTATAAAACTTATACTATACAATTATGGCCCGTTGAAAAGGTGAATATCCAAAATTGTCAACACGAGAAGGTTATTTCACTGAGGGCGCCGCCCGAAGTGAAATAACTTTTAAGGGTTGACAATTTTGGATATTCATTGCTTCTAAGGGGCCACAATTGTTTTATTATACCGAACTAACAGTGGAAGGGCATTTTGAATCATTGTAAAAGCACTTACCCTTACTTGAGTCAGTAACAAACACAAGTTGACGTTCAAAAATACATGTAATTTGTGTCTTAGAATTCTCGTATGTACAACAAAGGTAGATACTTTTTGTAAAATATTGATGGCCCTGAAAAGGACCGTTATTAGAGATATCATCGGCACAAGATGCACGTCAAAAGCCTTATTTCCTCTTCTCTCGATCAATGGGCTTCCTGTAACTTGAACTTTGAAAAGGTTATTCGCCAGTGAATAATAGGGTTATTCAATGCTGGTGTAAATTTTAGGGTTATTCGTTCTTCCTTGCAATTGAATGAAAATTAACTGAATTATTCCATGTCACGTGATAACGTTTAACCCAATAGAATTGTTTGAAATATATGTAAGGTATAATAATATAGGTTAATATCAGCAATATCTCGGACAAGTTGTATAACGATGGCAATCGACTTTTTCAAAAAAGAGTCATGCCCCTTGGAAACATTTAATTTATGAAAAATGGCCTCTTTAGCGCTCTCACGGGTACAATTCTTCCCAGATTTTTATAAAACTTTTACTTTAGGTTAATATCAGCAATATCTCGGACAAGTTCTATAATGGTGGATGATGGACTTTTTTTAAAAGAGTAATGCCCCTTGGAAATATAAAATATGTGCAATGTGGGGGACATTGGAACTCTGTTCTTTTATTTCAGGTTACAGATAGATAAAGGGTACTCATCTTTCCTCTTAAATAGCATTTTGAGGATTGCAAACTACATATTTTTATATAAGACCTTGTTTGTTTCTAGTTTGCAACTGAAATGAAATTGGGAATAAGTAAATAAAGCAGTAACTTGGAGGATATATGTTCCAACTGGTTGTTTTCACCAGTTAGAGAATTATTAAGAATTAATATTTCATTTTTCAAAAATTGTTCTAGATAAACTGGAAACACTTTGATTCACAAAACATCATGAATAAAAATATGCTATGTCTGTTGTCATTTTTACTATACATATTACAACTGATGTTATACATAGACATTTTTGTCATTTCTTATTCCAAGTTTCAATCCTGTTGATGACCAATGTTTTTTTTTTCCTATCTGTTATCCTTTTTCGTATATATATATCTCAGATACAGCAAAACTACAAAACTTATTTAAGATACATAAAAAAAAATTTTGTTTTCCAAAACAAGAAAAATAGACATTGTCTTTACTGATAAAATAAATCTACTGTGGATTCATTTATTTTCGTGGGAACCAATTTTCTCGGATTAAGGAAACTTACATATTCATGGATATTTAATTTTGTGGTTTTGCCGAAGTCTGCATACAAGCCTATATAAAATTTATCATTTGTTGAACATTTAATTTCGTGGTTCACCTGTACCCACGAAATCCACGAAAATTGGTATCTCACGAAAAATGATGAATCCACAGTATAAAAAATAATAAATAAATATTCAAGAAAATAATCCTAGATGAATGATAAAAATAGAAAAAAAACATAGACATCTCATATTAAGTAGTAAACTTTTAACTATTAGAAAATCACACAAAATTTAGGAAAGTGGTGATAAAAACTAAACTATACTCACAATGTACAAGTTCAGAATCTACATTTAATCTGGCTATTAAAGCTTCCCTGTGGTGCTGTTTTTCCCTGTTTACTCTTGCAGATTTATAATAACGAGCTAACATTTCTGCTGCTTTCTTATGTCCTTGTTCTAACTCTTCTCTTGATGTATACACAGTCTGAAGTCAAAGTTCATAATACCTTTTTTCATAATTCTTTCAAAACATTTTTTTTTTATTTACATAATATTTGATTATATCACATATGGTGTAGCATTCTTCTTTTTCATTGGTAATTACGATCTACAATTATGATTCAAAGGGTAATAAAGTATATGGACGCTATGTTTCTATTTATATGTATATTAACAGTCAACATTGAAAATCTTCCAAAATTCAACGTAAAATACGCTATTCAATGTAAAATATGTTATGTATCTATTCATATAACAGTCTTTATTAAAAATCTTGCATAATGCAATGTAAAATACAGAGAAAGAACATTAAAGTCGATTTCCATAATACGTGTACACGGTTTACATATGTAATATATAAATTTTAAAAGGACTTTCACTCAGTCAATATGTTATATATGGACCTTTTACATTATATTGACACTCAGAATTCATCCTCGGTCAACATAATCTGAACAGGTCCATATATAACGTATTGACATTGTCAAAAGTCCATAACTAATTTGTAAGTTCACATCTAAACTATCTATCATATGAATCTTTTCAATCTTTTTATATCTGAAAATTTTATCTTTTATCTTAAAATTCTGAGGATGTTTTGCTTAATCAATGTGAAGAGCATTGATAAGGCTGTCCAACACCTACTGTGATATTTTTCAGTTACTCTTTTTATCTTAAGCAAAAGTGATCATTTAAATCTGGCATTCTATATGCTATAAAAATGTTAGACCTATTGTGTGTCAAATAGTCTTTGGAGAGTAACTTTTACGAAAATATCTGAACCAAAGAACAAACATGAGCAGTAATAGTTCAAAACATGTAGGTAAGGGTCCGGAAACGATCATATTTGCCAGTCATGACCGAAACTGAAAACTATTTTTACTAGATAACATTTTTGTTCGCTTTGGAGATTCCGTATATCGTCAGGTTATCGGAATTCCAATGGGGACTAACTGTGCACCACTTATTGCGGACCTTTTTTTGTATTGCTATGAGTTACAATTTATGACAAAAATCAGTAAAGACCCATCGAAACAACATCTGATACACAAATTTAATAATACTTTTAGATATTTGGATGATATTTTGGCTCTCAATAATGACGACTTCAGTATGTATACTAAAGAAATTTATCCTGTTGAACTTACTTTAAATAAAGCTAATACTAACAATGACCACTGCCCTTTCCTCGATCTTGATATCTATATCATTAACGGAAAGCTTAATACTAAAATATATGATAAAAGAGATGATTTTTCATTTCCTATCGTTAATTATCCATTTTTAGATGGTGACCTTCCCTTGTCACCCTCTTACGGTGTTTATATATCTCAACTTGTACGATTCGCTCGTGTATGTAACAATGTTTTAGATTTTAACGAGAGAAATTTATGTATTACTGAAAAATTATTACACCAGGGTTTTCGATATCACAAACTAGTCAAAACATTTACTAAATTTTATCATCGATATAAGGACATCGTTCGTAAATATAGCTCAACATGCAGACTTCTTATACGTTCAGGTATTTCACATCCAATTTTTTATGGAAATATTCTTTATAAAGCACAAAAATGTCAGTATTCACCTCTGAAACTAACAAAACCTTTAAATAGACTTATTAAGAAGGGATATAGTTACGATACTGTTGTCAGGTCATTAAAGATTGCATATTTTGGCGTTAATATTGATTCACTTATAGGGTCTTTGCATCGGCACTAAACACATTTATTTAAAAACCAGTTGTTGGCATGACACGGGTTATGTTCTTCTCATATATGTTATGATGGTATGATACTAAACCCCTAAGGGGAAGGATTGTGCCTGATATTCATATGATGAAGACATAATCTTTCAATCAGTTTAATTGAAGTCTGGAGCTGGCATGTCAGTTAACTGCTAGTAGTCTGTTGTTATTTATGTATTATTGTCATTTTGTTTATTTTCTTTGGTTACATCTTCTGACATCAGACTCGGACTTCTCTTGAACTGAATTTTAATGTGCGTATTGTTATGCGTTTACTTTTCTACATTGGCTAGAGGTATAGGGGGAGGGTTGAGATCTCATAAACATGTTTAACCCCGCCGCATTTTTGCGCCTGTCCCAAGTCAGGAGCCTCTAGCCTTTGTTAGTCTTGTATTATTTTTAATTTTAGTTTCTTGTGTACAATTTGGAGTTTAGTATGGCGTTCATTATCACTGAACTAGTATATATATTTGTTTAGGGGCCAGCTGAAGGACGCCTCCGGGTGCGGGAATTTCTCGCTGCATTGAAGACCTGTTGGTGGCCTTCTGCTGTTGTCTGTTCTGTGGTCGGGTTGTTGTCTCTTTGCCACATTCCCCATTTCCATTCTCAATTTTATTTGTCCTAAACCATGTAAACGGCAGATTAGGATTTTTAGGTCTAATTTTATTTTTTAAAAGAAATAATAACGGTCATGTTATTGAGATTAGGTTTCTTAATCGCCAAATTTCACTGAATTTTGTTTTGAAATGCTTTTTAGGTTATAAATTGCCACTCCAGTATAGTATGACAATCCTCAGGGCCCTCAAAATAACCATATTAATGCCTCTAGGAGATATTGGCTAATGATCCCTAATCTTTTTTTACCTGTGTTCCTGACAGTTGTGATCAAGCTCAGAGCTAATATTTTAAAGAAATTCTATTCCATTACAACTAACTTCATCATTTGAGAACTTTTCAGTAAAGACAATTGCCAATTTTGATTTAAAAGTTAAATTTTTTATTAAATGTATGCTGAAAAAATTAATTGTTCACTAGTCAAACATGTGCTTTATTTACTTTGTAATATTCATGTGTGAAATTGTTTTCACCAGGCTTGTCTCCAGGGACAGATCCAGTCATTTTTAAAAGGGGGGTTCCCAATCCAGGATAAAGTGGGGAGGGGGGTGGGGGTGTTCCAACCATATGTCCCCATTCAAAAGCTTTTGTCGTCATTTGGACTTTATTGCATTATTGGATTCTATTAATAAAACTAACTGGTTTTAATTCTCTATTCTGGTTAATAAATCTTTGTATTTCTACTCTTCTTTCATCAGTCAGTCCAGGAGGTTTGAGTGAAGCTTTAACTTTATTTCTTTTGTCTTCTAGCTTCTTCAACCATTTCCTAACCTGCATGTGAAAAAGAACATATTGTTTTAGTTACAAAGAACTTTTGAGTAAAATTGTGTAGACATTATCAATCACTATCAAACAGTTGATACTAAATGTTATGACCTTGCTTATGACTATCTTGACCTTGCTGATGTCATCTTGACCTTGCAGAAGGATATTAGATCTGAAATGCATTGACAAGGACCTTTTACCGTCAAGCTAATGAACAGTGACCTATACATAGAATTTCATGAAATTTTTTTCATGTACAATCAAACAATATGCTTTCATTTAGCATTACTTTGTATTTTCATAACCATTCAAAATTTATTATATAAATGAATCATTATAGATTGAGCATTGGGAGAAACAAAATGTACAAATGACCCACTCTATCAATAACATAATATACTGTTATTACATTTTACAATTATTAAATTTTTACAGACAACTTAGAAAAATAATTATATATAAATATATATAAACTAAAATTTTATTATTTTATATTCTACAAACACAACTTATATACTTACAGCACGCTGGACAGTAATGGCGGCTCTATAACGTTTAACAAATACTTCTCGGTCCTGCATGCTCTGTCGGGCATGATGACCCCTCCAGGATTTCTGTATAAGAACAGCAGATTTATTCTGTTGTCTCTGCATATATCTTTCTAGCATGGCTACAATTATAATTTTAAAAAGTTTTGACAAATACTGTACTGAAAAAAAAATTGAATCAAGTAATATTTAAACTGGTACCTAAAATTTAAGCATAACATATTCTCATTTACTATATAAGCATATTTATCTATGGTGTACTCATTTGTTGAATTTAGTTGCCAACAAAACAAGAGGCTCTAAAAAGCATGTATCGCTCACCTGCATTTTCAACATTAGCCATTTTTTGGTAAAAATAATCATGAGAGGGCAATAACTATATAAAGAGTTAACTGTCAATTCAGTCATGTTGACATATTTGTAGATCTTGTCATGCAGATCATTTTTGCTTCAAACAGTTTCTACATATTTATTATAGTTTTCAAAATTACAGGCAAAAATGCAAAATATTGGGAAAAATCTTCATTAAAGGGCAATAACTTCAATCAGGAGTTAACTGACGATTTTGATTATGTTTGACCTATTTGTAGATCTTGACTTGTTGATCATTTTGGCTTTTAAAGTTTCTTTCTATCTATCATAATTTTTAAAATATAAGGCAAAAACGCCACAAATTGGTAAAAATCGTCATTAAAGATCAATAACTCCAATAAGGAATCGTCTGATGATTTCAGCTATGTTGACATATTTGTAGATCTAGTCTTGCTTATAATTTTTCCTAATAAAAATTTCTCTGTATCTATTATAGTTTTTAAAAAAATGATAAAATTTGACATTTAAGGGCTATAACTCATATAAGAAGTCATCCGACAGTTTTAACGTAAATGGACAGCAGGTAGATTTCAACATTCTCAACATTTGCGCTCTTGTCAGATTTTCTCTTTTCATAATGGTTTCCAAGATGATAGACAAAACTTGCATTTTACCCCTATGTTCTATTTTTAGCCATGTAGGCCATCTTGGTTGACAGGCGGGGTCATCGGACACATTTTTAAAACTAAATACCCCAAATATGATTGTTCAAGTTTGATAAAATTTGACCCAGTAGTTTCAGAGAAGATTTTTATTAAAGTTAACAGACAACGGTCAACGGACAAGGGATGACAAGCGATTACAAAAGCTCACTTGGCCTTTTGGCCAGGCGAACTAAAAATGAAATTTGATACCCTACAGTAACATGTTATATCTGTAATGTATAAAGTTTATTAGCACATATAAAAAAAAAAAACAATTACCCTGGGTCTTTCCATAAACTTAAAATGAAGGTATTTGAAGTTAAAAAAGCTCAGTATATCTTTGTTTCTTTTTCCATAAATATATAAATATCAGATGAACAGGTAATACTGAATTTATGTAAACAAAATTACAAATATTAGTGTCTTACCAATGAAATTCTATACTAAAAAAGGCTTTTGCAATCAATCTATACAAAAATGTTTTTATAAGCTAAAAAAAAAACTATCTACAAATTCAGAATTTGTTTTAAACTGAATATACTTTGCAATTATTTACCTTCAGAACTTGACCAGAAATAAGAAGCATTCAGTCAGTGAGATATGTATGTGTATTAATTCTGAAGTGCTTAGGTAACATAACAGATATGTCTGCCTTGTTAACAATTAGGAAAGGTCATGTTCTGAATCTTACTACATCTTTCCAAACAAAGTTTTGTGAAATTAACTATGTTCAAAAGAAAAGGTGTATTTCTATAAAAATTTGAATCTCATGGTGAATACAGACTTTTCAAATTTATATTTTGCATAAACCATATTTTTTTTTTGAAATGACATATACTGTGGATTCATTTATTTTGGTGGGTACCAATTTTCGTGGATTGTGGAAACCTTGCATTTTCGTGGATATGGGATTTCGTGGTTCTGCCAATAGAAATTTGTATTTCGTTGAACATTTAATTTCGTGGTTCACCTGTACCCATGAAACCGACGAAAATTGGTATCCAACGAATAATAACGAATCCACAGTATATCAGTTCTTTATCATTCATAACGTTACCTGCCGGTAATATTTCTACAGTATGTAATTGTTTTTCTTTGAATTCCCTCATTATTCTCTGTCTGTTTAACTTCAGTTGTCTCTGTAATTCTATGGCTTCCTTTGCCTGTACTTTTCTGTCTTCTAATACTCTTTTCTTTAATCTAAAATATACAATTATTTAGTCTGGTTCTCTTTTGTTACCAAAGTTGGAAGTATTTTGCACATCAGGTCGCTTAAAACATGATTAATGACATATGTTTGTTTCATTTAAAAAAAGCAAGGTAAAAACTATATTTACTATAGTATGAACAGGTTTCATAAATTTTGATTTTAGACCTCATGTCTACCTTATCCCAACCTTCTATACTTTGTTCTAATTCATAGAGATCAGGTCTAGGCAGTAGAAAGGAGTATATCTGGGGTAAATCAACTATCTTTGACATGTAACTAATATAACTCTATCAAATAATAGAAGAACAAGTGTAACTAAAATCTTTTGCAAATAGACGAGTTTCTAATTTCCATTCTATGAATGAATGTTCTTCCATAGTTGACCTGCAGCCATTCATAGAATAACAGGCCATAGGTCATTGTGACATGAAGATGTTTGCTTTGCGACTTCATATGTTTTCAAGAAAATTGCACTAAATAGATAATTGTGTGCAAGATATACACATAGTATGGACACTTGTCTATCAATGAGGTATAGGTAATGACCTATAAATGTCCTTTTTGGTTTATTGTATAACCCTGTTCATCACCTATGTCCTATCAATTCAACCCTGTTCATCCATGAGGCCTTCATTTCTATATTCTTTAATTTTTTAGGCCATTTTTCTCAATTCTTTATATTTTTTGCCCATTATTCTCAATTCTTTATATTTTAACACCTCATTATTCTCTATTTTTTATATTTTAGAATCTCATTATTCCCAATTCTTTATATTTTAGCACTTCATAATTCTCAATTCTTTATATTTTAGCATCTCATTATTCTCAATTCTTTATATTTTAGCATCTCATTATTCTCAATTCTTTATATTTAAGCACTTCATAATTCTCAATTCTTTATATTTTAGCATCTCATTATTTTCAATTCTTTATATTTTAGCATCTCATTATTCTCAATTCTTTATATTTTAGCACCTCATTATTCTCTTTTCTTTATTTTGTTGGTCAATTTTTCTCTATTTATATTTTTTGCCCATTATTCTCTATTCTGTAGTCCCCATCCACACCCTCATAGCAAATGCTCTTCAGAACTACAAATACTGTATTACAACATACCTATATTGTTGTTGGAATTTTGAGAATGTTTTGTTGGCTTTTACAAGCTTCTTTCTTGTAATAAATCCTTTCCATACAGCTTGGATAGTAATAGCAGCTCGAAAAAATCTCTGGAAATAGAAATATTACCAAAACTTACAGCATATTGACACCATTATTAGGCCATACAGATTTTTTACAGCTTTTAGTCCAACTTTCAATAGCAAAGGTATTAAAGTATTTGGAATGCTGATAAAGAAATTATATAAAAATAGAACAAAACTAGAGGCTCACTTGTATATACTGTGGTTTTGGAAATCATGTAAAATAAGGTTAAAATCATAATAAATAGTATTAGATACCCAAATAATGATTGAGGCCAAGTTTGATTTAAATTGGCCCAGTAGTTAAATTAAAAGAAGCAGATTTTTGAACAAAAATTTACAAAAATTACCAATAAATTGCAGAAAATGACTTTAAAGGACAATTACTCCAATAAGATGTCAATTGAAGATTTTGGTCATGTTGAATTATTTGTTGATCTTTCTTTGCTTGATATTTTTGCTATTTGCAGTATATCTCAATCTATAATGATATTCAAAGATAATTAACAAAAATTGCAAAAGGATGCTGTCATGAAAGTCTCCCAAACAAACACCAATTGAATACCCCTCCTCTCCAAAATTTATTTCACCCAGGGCCTGTATAATGCTGGAAATGCCTTTAAATGTTTTTTGGGAACGACCTTCAAAAACAATTTGGGCAGGGGGGCATTCACCCACCCCCCCTGAAAAAATTGCACCCTCCAATGGAAAAAAATTAAGTCATCCCATTGTAGTCTTACAATAGTTACTGAAGACCCCTTATCATTATTAAAATTAGTTTTCAAATTGTGACCATTTGAAATTGTTTTTTTTAATTGAATTTTCCTGTAGACTGCAATAGTAAACAACTATGTTCTATTTTTAGCCATGGTTGCCCATGTTGGTTGGATGGCAGGGTCATCGGATACAATTTTCAATCAAGATACCCTATTTAAAATTGTGGCTCAGTTTAATTCTATTTGGCCCAGTAGATTAAGTGGAGAAGATTTTTGTAAAAGATTACAAAAATTTATGAAAAATTATTAAAAATTGACTATAAAGGGCAATAATTCCTTAAGGGGTCAATTGACAATTTCGGTCATGGAAACTTATTTGTAGATCTTACTTTGCTGAAAATTATTGCTGTTTACAGTTTATCTCTATCTATAATAATATTCAAGATAATAACCAAAAACTGCAAAATTTCCTTAAAATTACCAATTCAGGGGCAGCAACCCAACAATAGGTTGTATGATTCGTATGAAAATTTCAGGGCAAATAGATCTTAACCTGGTGAACATTTTTATTTCGTCAGATTTGCTCTAAATGCTTTAGATTCAGAGATAAAAGCCAAAATCTCTTTTTACCCCTATGTTCTATTTTAGCCATGTCGGCCATCTTGGTTGGCAGGAGGGGTCATTGGACACATTTTTTAAACTAGATACCCCAATGATGATTATGGCCAAGTTTGGTTAAATTTGGACCAGTTGTTTCAGAGGAGAAGATTTTTGTAAAATTTAGGCCTGGTGAGCTAAAAAGGGAGTCAACTATTGTAAACAACTACTAATCCACTTGTCCATTTTTAATTTTATTCTTTAATCATTAATGAAGTCAAGGTCACCTACTTTAAGTGTGGACCTTTGTCATAAAACATAATGCATTGACTGACAGAAAAGTTATCCTTCATTTGTAGTTGCTTAGATTTGGAATTTATCACAAAACTTAACTAAGATTGAAAAAGAAATATACACAGAGACAAAATCCTATATTCCCTCCCAAATGTTGTCAGATATATATCATTATGATATAAGCTGGGACAAATAAAGTTATTATATCACTTTTATTGTAAAGTGTACATAAAAAATTTTTTTTTAAATTTTATTCCTTTTACCATTGTTTACCTCAAGACATGTTAAATCAGTGCAATGTATATACACCAATAATTCAATCATATTACCTCATTTTCAGCTTTCTGTGCATTTCCTGCTTGGAGTAAAAGATGGAGTTCTTTTAAATCTCGACTAAATCCTGCTCCTTCCCATTTGGCTAATAATGGCCTTAAGCCTCTACAAAATTTTCAAATTTATTCTATGTTATGTTAAAAATTTCACATGTGATGTATGTAACTATTCGTTAACAACCTAGCATTTTAAATTTTGATAGAATTATTTGTATGCAACATTTGCTGAAATCTCAATTAATGTGGTGGTTTAGGGTCTGTTGTTCTGTTAGGATCGATAAGAGGGGGTGTCATCAGGAATTCCCCCCAAAAAAAAGTATTCTTTCCCATATCCTGAAAAATTAATAATTCCCAAGTCCAGATAGCTGCAAATCCCCCAAATCCCACGAAAATAAAGACCAAATGCCAAATTTCCTCAAAAAAAGGACCAATCCCAACGTCTCAAAAACGGTCCTTCTGCCCTCTTCTGTTGTTTGCCTTTTAGTCTTTTCCTTTTGGCCTTGTTAAATTTTTTTACTTATGGTTTTTGATTGCCCCCTAGGTATCTTTTAATCATCTTTTACTCATCTTTTACTTAACAATTCCAGTTCAGTTTGTTCTTCAATCTTATCCAATTAATTGTCGCTGTCTTTAAAAGATTTCTACTTTCTTTGTTAACAGGAGATATGAACCTAAAACAATGATTACAGTTATCTTGAAGGACAACTTAGAGGATGATCACTACTTACTTATATCTTGTACACAAGGTTTCTACTAAAGGTCGATGACTCTCACAGATTCTCAAAACACATTTACATGCAGACCTAAATATATAAACGAAAAATTACATGCATAAATTCAAAAGAAACAAACTCTTATTAATAGGAAATTTTTGATTTTCTGTTGTATTAAAATTCTATTTCTTGTTTTATGATTTTGCTTCATACATTTTTTTTTCAACTAGTATTAGATATTGTTTCATAATTAAAAGTTGATGTATTGCAAAACTAAATGATTAGTTTTTTTATGCTTTTCTCAAAAAAATTTATTATACATTTATCAGTTTATTAATCATTTTATCTGTTTAACTGCAAATTTTTTATTGAAGTTATATACTTATTAAACATAGAGATATGAAAAGTGAAAGAATGTAAAGAATCATGATCGAGACATTAAAATGACATCTTGCACAACTTGATGCGTTATTCTGAACTTGATTCCTTTTGAAAAATGTAATTTTTGATGTTACAATAAATACAATATCTTTATTTTTGCAAATCTTGAAGATTATTTTTAAACTGCTGCCAACTGCTTGCAATAATCTGACTACATTAAAGATGTCAATTCAGACATCACACTGCCAGAATATACATTTCATAATTGGAATAGTAAACAAAATTTAAAAAAACTTAAGAACTCATGAATATTAGCATCAACCTTAAACAGATTTTATTCAGACCAATAAACATGACTAATTTTTAAATAAACACCTGGAACACATAATCATACCAAACAGAGTATGTCAGATTTAAATTACTTAAGACTTTTCAGAAAAAGCAAGCATATTAAGTCATTTAATCAATTGTTTATTTTATTTCTTATTTTTTTTCAACTCTTCACAAATATCATGAATATCATAATACATCATGGTTTTGGATACTTACGCTCCAACACTGACTTCATTACTAACAGACAGTTTATAAATTAATTCATCCATTATACTGAGAATTAACTTCTGGTTCAAACTTCTTAGGACAATTCTGAAAAATAACAAACATTTATAAATTGATGTGGCACAACTAATATATGAAATTATATTTGTTAAATTGTATTTCTATTTTTCTTTACAATGGATTTAGATATTATAATGACAATGGTCAGGTTTCTTCAATTTAGAAGGATGTTATGCTCTGATACCCTTAGTCAGTCCCTTTTGCTTTTGAACCATGCTACAAAATTATCTGTGTCAATTTTAAAGGAAATCAACCATTTCATGATAAATTCAAGGTAAAGTTTTATATTGATATCAGACACTCCAGAATAAACAATCATTTTTTTCAAATTTGGCTTCTAAGAGTTAAGCAATATGATTTACCTGTTAACTCTGAGTATTTTAGGTATGAGATCCATGATAGCTACAACTGTGTCTGTGTCATCTGTGATCAGCAGTTGTAATAACCATGGACATTCCAAAACTGCAATATATAAACAGTAAATATAAAGTATATTCCACAACTGTCACACATGTACATACATATATAAATGATAATAAAAGTACTTGTACATGTCAATCTAAATAAGGTATAAAACAATTCTACATAGTTAAACAGAAGAAGAGAAACATTTTCTTTGCATCCAAAATATACATTTTCACATCTATTTAAAAGGTTTTATATCTTTTTCTGGAAAATTCAATTATTCACATAGGATTCTGCAGTTCAAGAACACCCCCTCCAAAAAAAAAATATAATAATTAAATTAAAAAAAATATAGCTTTTGAAAAAAACAAAAAAGCACTTATTATATATAATATGTGTATAGAAAGAAAAAAAATAAGATACCATTAATTGAAATAAACAACACAGGTATTTGTTCCCTATACATATTATTAAATAGCAATGTAGATAAGTTTTTACTTCTAATTGATATTTCTTTCCTTCTGGTTTGTTTGTATTTCTTGTTTATCATTACTAATTTTTCAAAACTATAAATCAGTATTGGGGCCATATATATATTAAGATGGATAATCACTATATATTTCCTCAGATAAATTTTTTTAAACTTAACTAAAATGTAGATATTACCAGCTTTTTTCAAAAATATAATAAAAAGTAAGGGTCATTGTGCTGTTTCTCAGGTTATAAGTTGTGCAAAACTGCCTTATTAGGAATAGATTATTCATAAAAATAGAAAAAATCTGTAAGATAATTTTTTTAATAAAATATGAGAAGGTTTTATGATATGCTTTTAGTAAATAAAAAGAAAATAAATGTGGATAGTGTTCACATTTGGACACAGATGATGCCCCCCCTTGCATATCATATAGTTATAAAGGGACATAACTGAAGAACGGTAAAAGTGACGCTACCCAAATTTGAACTTGATCTGAGTTTTGTGGTAATGAGCATTGTGTGTAAGTCTCATAACATTGGTTGAGGCTAACTTAAGTAGAGAACAGAAACTAAAAATTCAGCAATTTTTCTATTTGTAAACTCGCATAACTCTAGAACTGTTGTGTATAAGTTTTATAACATTTGGTTGAGACAAACTAAAAAATTCAGCAATTTTTATGTCTATAAAGGGACATAACTCAAGAATGGGAAAAGTGTCACCACCAAATTTCGTACTTAATCTGTATTATGTAGTAATAAGCATTGTGTATATGTTTCATAACATTTGGTTGAGGCAAACTAAAGTTAGAAAACGGAAACAAAAAATTTGTACTTGATCTTAGTTTTGTGGTAATGAACATTGTGTATAGGTTTCATAATGTTTGGTTGGGGCAAACTTAAGTTACAGAATGGAAACTAAACATTTTGCAATCTTTCGATTTATAAAGGGGCATAACTCAATAATGGTTAAAGTGACACTACCCAAATTCAACTTGATCTGTGTTTTATCTGTGGAAGTCAAAATTAAACATTGCATTGTATTAAGCATTGATTGTAGTTGATTCAACTATAATCATGGACAAAGGAAGATAACTCCAATTTTAAAAATTAGTTGATATTTAGAAGAAAATAAAATTTTGCAATTTTTCCATTTATAAAGGGGCATAACTCTAGAACGGTTAAGGTGACGCCACCAAAATTCGAACTTGATCTGTGTTTTGTGGTAATAAGCATTGTGTATAAGTTTCATACCATTTGGTTGAAGCAAACTCAAGTTAGAGAACGGAAACAAATTTTTGCTACGACGGGGGAATAAAAAATGGTGTCACAGAACTTGTTTTTTTGCTACAAGTAATATTAAAATTGTAAATTTCATTAACATTCCTTTATAAAATTTACTATAAGAGTTATCTCCCTTATATGGCTAAGTTAAAAAAAATTGAATAAAACAAAATAAATACTCAGTATTTGTCAAAACAGCTTAAATAATGCAATAAATCACTAAATTTTCTTTATTTAAATAAACCATTTTACACATAAATTGCCATTCTGTCTCAAAATTTGCAGAATTAAGCAAAGAACTAGATTGTATACTGCTATTTTACAATCAAAGATGGTGGTGTACAGTTCAACCACCTTAAGAGAGAAGTCAAACAGTTGTATGACATCAGCAAAATACTACTTCTACTTCTCTAAACAAACTTTAATAAAATACATAATGAACAGGATAGTCTGATTAAACAGAAAACATTCTATTTTACTTCATTCAAATTCAATATTGTTTAAGTATATTCTAAATACTATGCCATTAAGTTATTAGATTTACCTTTCTTTGGCACACTAGTGTGACCTGAGGCTAAATATACAACAGATTCCAATACACCTCTGTAACATGCAAGTAATTTATTTCTCTCTTTCATGTGGCCCTAGAAATATCAAAAATAAAGTCTAAACATCACACTCCATCATAGCATATATATGTTATTAATAATAATAATAATCAACTATAACTTCATTAAGGTACAGTGTGTTCACCAAGTATAAATATGGTTATGAGTTGTCATGAAAAATGTCTATTTAGCCAGTATGCGATTAGTCATCAAGGCATATACATTATCAGACCTGTAAATGTCTGGTTCCCAAGATTATAAAATATAAGATTCTATCTGGAATCTTGACATAATGTAAATTGTATACATCTCATCAACAGGAACATATCATTAATCTAGCTTGTATACGTCTAATGACTAAGGAAATATAATTTATCTGGGGTGTATGTGATTGGTCAATAAGAATATATTACTTACGGCTCTGTCCGGAATCTTTGCATATCTTGCTTGTATGCGCCTGGTCACTAAAAACATATTACTGACAGCTTCAAGTAGCACCTCATCCTCAAACTTCTTTACTTCTGCACTAGGAAGATCTAGGCCTGTGCATACTTGACTAAAAAATGTCAATTTTTGAAAAGTAAATTATAAGTTGAATTAAGTCTATTTCTTAAAACTTCATCTATTTCTTAATAAAATCCAAAATGCATAACAGTAAACCATCAACATTACATAAAAAATATAAATCTACATGGTAGAATTTTAATTTTTTACTCAAAATGTGAAAAGGATAGTTGTTGTACATGTACTTTGTTTATATATAAAATAAAATATGCATTGGTCATTATAAATTAAAGCATACTCTTTACTTATGTGTCTCATAATTTGTATTGGTTTGTTTTGTTCACAATGTATCACTGATGTTTAAATATGAGGGGGGGGGGGACATTATTTAAGGTGATCATTGGAAAACCCATAACATTAATTATTGCAAATCTGTGTCTGTAAGCAAATTCAGTGGTGTTCTTTATATTACTAACCCAGTATTACTTTTTTGAGGTGTAGCTATTAGATGGAGTTAAGGCTTGATATAATCATTATGCTCAACTTAAAAAGGAGTTTTTCTTTATTTTTTAAGACAATGTGAGATGTAAGGACACATCTTAAATTTGAATTTTGTTGTTCAGACGATCTAGCCAATGACTTATGACAGAGTATAGCCATACATGTATGCAATTCAAGAATCTATATTTTGTAACAGACACTTAATAGTACATGTATATATATCTGAAAACAGTTGATAGGAACCATTACATATATAACAGTAGTAAACAATGATTCATACCTGAGTATAGCCGCCAGCGATGCTGCAATTTGCCATTCTCCATCCACAATGGTGAAGTCCTGTTTTAAAACTAGAACTAGGGCTTGCAAAAGATTGTATTCCCATATTTCTTTCCTTATTCTCATACCATCTTTGCTTCCAGCTACAGCTGTGCTGAGAATTTCTAACAGAAAAATAAAAAAAATTTAATTCATGTCAAAATATCATGAATATAAATTATATCATTACATCATAAATATGTGATTTTTCTGTTGAAGCTTAAGTTAAAACAATTTTATTTAAATTCAACCCATCAATGAAAATGCATTTGTCAATGTTCGTAAAAAAAAATGCACTCATTGCTTAGATTCTTTATTGTCCTTTATTTTCATTAATTTCAAACTACATATAATGTATGTACCCGTATTATCATGATTATTCTAATCTAGGCTGTATTAAGGAGGATGCTTTTCCATGAAGTTTTCAATATCTGATAACCAATTGTTTAAAATATATGATAGAAATAAAATTGATAAAAATAACCAATAAAAATAAACATGATAAAATCTGTAGCCTTTCCTTATGAACTAAAAAAGATACATGTACCGTTGCAGTCTTCATAATAAACTTTAAAATCTACAGGCCCAGATCTCAACTTTTGGAAAATTTTAGTTAAATTCTGTTGGCCTGTAGGGATGATTTTTACAAGCCTGGGCTGCTGGGCCTGTGGTACAGTGTGAAGACTGCCGTTGATAAAGAATGATAAATTGTTTAAGCTGTCAATAAACGGTCTGAGTTATCTTTCTCATAGACACTCATTTAATCATTTACATAGTCAAAACTTTTCATTTTTACTTAGTCTTAGTTGGTGATGTAGACAATCCGAGTTGACTTTATTGACAGTCAATGTTTTCATAGATGGCCCGAGTTGTCTTGCACCAAAAACAAGCATTGTATAAACAGCAAAATTTATGTTCTACACTGATACAGACAGATCATACATGTAAGATAAGGATAGTTTTATATTTTCTTATTTCCTTGTCAATACCAGTGACATTTTTCTTCATTTTGAAGAATATATCAATTTATGGTGAAAATTTTTTGTTATACAATGTTATACAATACAATAAAATACAATACAATATAATACAATATATGTATATGTTTATTTCAATAGAAGTCCCTCATTGGGCAATGACAAAGATACAATCATAATTCAGTTATACAAACAATACAGTACAAGAATAGAATATGTATATAATACCGGTGTGGTAAAAACAAAAACAATATAAGCCGATTTTAAATGATGAGTTCTCTGCAATAAGGATGTTTGCAGCAGTGTGACCTAAGGGAAGACAAACCGTTTGGTAAATTGATTACTTACATTTTGTAGCTGGAGGAGACACCAGGGGACAGTGCTTAAGAATCATATGCATATATATATGAATATCCCTGTGTCTAAATCATCAATGCCAACAAGACTTAATAAAATAGATAAATAGTGGCCATCTATATGATTGCTGAACTACATGAAGAGGAGAGTCCGAGACACCAGGGGGGTAATGCTTAAGTTAAGAATTGTTTGAATATGGTTCTCCCCGTGCCAAAATCAGCCAAGCAAGCATTTAAAAAAACAGAAAATGAAATGAAATATGAGTTTAAAAAATTTGTTTTAATGATTCAGATTATATCTAGGTTCAACTCTTTGTGGAAGAGTTTTGAGCATGACTGGTCTTGTTCATATCAAAATTGAATGACTATTATTACCTTTCAGCCTCAATAGTAAAATTGGAATACGTCTATCCCGTGTCTCTGCTACCTCAGATGCTAAATTAATAACACGTTTATCTCTTGTCGGACTCGGCTGTCTCGACATTTTAAAAATATAAGTTGAAACTTGCCGAAAAAAAGGTTGTTTACTTGGTCATTTAGGCGCTTCCGACTGAATCAGCAGTACGTTTTATTATCTAGCTGTCTAAAATAAAAACAAACGCGGACAGCAGCAAAACGAAAGTAGGAATGGCGGGAAATGTGTAACAGTTAGAACAACATGAAGTTTAGAGGGAAAATCGTTGATATAGGATGTATACACCATTTCACGAGCAAGTCTATTTACATTTTTTTTATTCATACAAGAATCGAATAAATGATAGTAAAACAATACTCAGTCCAGAAAATGTTTCCATTCTGTGTTTATTTTTAGGTGTATCCTTGATAACCAATACCAGAGACATATAATACAAGAGATTCGCAACTCGGCGAAATCCCGTAATAACACGCGGCCACTAGTTAAACCTCGCGAGATCTCCTTAGGTAATAAAGTCATTAATAAAAGTATTAAAAGTACTCGAAGTAAGGACGAATGTTTAAGCATAACATAAACTGTTTCAGTGTTAAATTTATCATAATTAATTAAATATAATTTGAGTACATATATAATTATTTATTTTAATGTAATTTTGATTTTAGATTTGTATTATTGAAAAAGAGACATAATTTGATATTGTATAAAAAAAAACTGATATTAAATAATTAACACTTGATAAATTGTGTCAGAGTTCATTTTATTTGATAGTTACATAATGGGTTTCTATTGAATATACACCTGTCTCGGAGACATAATTTCACAGTGTGACATGTATATTAGGTTTGAATTATTCGATGACCAGGTAAATCACGAACATGTTATAAATAATGAGTTTTAATTGACACCTTGTAAACAAGAAGTTGTCACACCACAGGTGTCCACACTCTTTCCAAAAATACAATTCGCAAAATGTATAATTAATTAATATGGAAAAAAACTTAATTTATTTGTTAATTAATTGTTAATCATGATAGGCTTTGTTTTTTATTGTTGATATTTATAAATTATTAAAATTTTATTTATTTTTATATTCCTCATTTATTGGGCTTTCATTGAGTTTTTTTTCTGTAGGATTGTCGGTAAATGTTTGATTTCTATGTGTTGTTATACAGTTTTATCATATAGGCTTGCATTGAGTTGTTTTTTTAAATGATTGTCGGTAAATTTATGGTTTCTTCATGTTCGAAGTGTGTATTGAGAATTAATATTTAAGAAAATTACAATTAATTTCTCATTTGAATAAAGCTTCATTCATGTGCACGCAATATGGAAAATTCCGATTTTATTTCGTGGGATGACAATCTTAATTTCGTGGGATGACAATCTTAATAGTTACGACTTAGATATACTCCTAGTTGAATAAACTGATAACGAACTCTTTGTTGATAGTGAAAAGGACGAAAACATAAGCGAGAGACCCACCAACAAAAACAATTGACAATACTGCATACATAGATGGATATGTGTGTCCTCGAAGCAACAAAAAATCTATAAAAAAACACAGGTCATACATCAAAGCAACACGGAAGACACTATTTAAAAAGTATTTTATAACCTTGTTTCCACGAGACAATCATTTGTAGTGGTTTTTGTCTTTTAATCATTTGTAGCGGTTTTTGTCTTTTTATTCTGGGGTAAAGAGATGGCAATTTAAAAGTAAGATTGTTTATGTGTATACATATACAAATCCTTGGTGTAAATAAAATCTTTTATTATCATATATATATATATATATATATATATATATATATATATATATATATATATATATATATATAAAAGTCTAAATTGAAAACAACGTTCAAACCTATGATTGCGTTGGATAAAAACCGCAATTTTTATACGTGTGCATGTAAAACAAATTTCTTGGTAGAGGGGTCTAAATACAGCACAAACAACAATTTCCAAAAGACAAAAAAAAGTGAAAAAGTCTATTTTAACAAAACGCATTTGACTAACAGGTCGAACAACTGATGTTCTTAAACCCTGCTGACTGCCATTGGCGATTGCCAAATAAATTGATCACCAGATCTAACAAAATGGATCTTAATATTAATTAAATACCAAACAGAAAACAATAAACTTGTGGAAAAGATGATATACCACAAACATATATATATATATCTTTTGCAGTCACCATTGAAATGTCCTCAATACGATTTTAATTTAAAAATGAATTAGGTTCATGTTTTGAACGAGAAGCGTAGTCTGAAACGACAACAGATGCATATGAAGCTCATTCATAATATTACGACCAGCAGAAGGTTTCCTTTACTAGGAAAATTTTACTCCTTTTGTAAATTTACTGCATTCGTTCATCTTTGGCACCCTAAAAAGAAGAAAAAAACAATGACTTCAGAATAGGAGAAAATAAACAACTTTGCTATAAACAGAATGAAAAATGAATAAAATGTCTAACAAAATGCAGGCTATAAATTTCATAGTGCACAAAAAAGAAGGACTGATTTAAGGAAATTTGTCCATGAACAATTTCAATATTTAGCCAGTTTAATAAAAAATTTCGGGTATCAATCAGAAAAAATCGCCACATTGTTGGTTCAAATTTTACGAAAATAGTCTTATTTTCAGTCACGAAACAACATTTGGGAGTACTATTGGCCCATAAAATTATATATTTATTAGCATATTTTTCAAGTTTTAAGAAAAAAATTGGGAGATCAAATGGTTTCTACGGCAATAGGTGAAGTAAAATGGGCCGAGTTTTAACTTTGTTTGTATTTGATTAATCTCATCATTAGAACACATTTTATCAATAACAAATTATTAGAATTAGTTTTTTGTAACTTTTAAATATACTTGCATGCTTTAGCTGTGAAAGGTATCGGCATTATCCATTAGAAAAATCGTGAGGCGTAGAACCTTTTACACAACAATACGGGTTATTACCCATAAATCCATCGGATTAATCGGCTTTCCGGTGGCCACGTCATTTCATTGGCTGTTATATAGACTCTACTAGAGTTGCGAATCTCTTGTATTATATGTCTCTGCCAATACTATACAGTTAAAGTTCCATAAATTAAATTTGTATCCATACAGAATCATAGAAAAAATGGTTTGAGCCGACCTCCAAATGACCCAAGATTCTGTAATGAGGAGTCTGTCTACTATTTGTGGTTGTACTTCTCCCCATATCCTCCATCAACAGGAATCGGAAATTCTATCAATAAAATTCTGTAAATAATAAAGTCGACTATCAATAGAGCTTCTCGTCGGGCTCCATCCAATGTCTGTTCTTTCTTTTGTCTACCAAACGTGTCCAAATTTCCTTTGGTCTTCCTAGATTTTTCTTTCTAGTTGTGTCCATGTCATGGCGATTTGATAGTCGTTCAATGGTCCATCCTCATGATGTTACCTATCTAACTCAATCGCCTGGGTTAATGTGATGATGCACATGTTGGCTCTTTGCAGCAGTTCTGTGTAAGAAATCATAGCTGGCAACAATATTCTGAAGATTCTATGCAAGATTCAGGTGTTAAAGATATTTGTCTCCATCTCTCTTGCTTAATATATCATCCAACATTCTGCCCCATCCCCTGCTCCATATAACATCACTATCAAAACATTGCTTTTATAGTTTTTCATTTTGGTGTTCCTACTGTATTGGTTCAATATATTTTTACTTTTTTGTGTAAATGTTGTTTATTCCTTATTTCTTAGTAGTACAGATGTGATTCTTATTTAAGTGATTATTATGAATTATCAGTCAGGGGTATGACTTATAAAAGTAATTTGAAAATTTCAGTAATCACCTATTTAAGTGATTTTGGTGTTTCCTTTGATCTTCAAATGCTATAAATGTCATTAATTTTCCATAAAATGACAGTTTTTTTTGTAATTTGCATACATAGATCAAGTACCCCTTTTTCTTGTATATTAATCATGTTAATTTCATCAGTGCGCCTCGGGGCAGTAGATTTGTGTGATAAAGCTTTAAAAAGTTCCCTTGGGAATTTTTCTGTGATCAAATATTCATAAAATACTCTTATAATCAGACAAAGGTTAACAATTTTAAGTAACCTGATTAATCTTCTTTACTCTTAGAATGATCAACTTCAAGGTTTTTGTCCTAATCTACAAGTTATATTAGTTTATGCATATTTCGTGTATTTCAAATAAACTGTAAAAACTGACAGGCTCATCAAGCAAAACATCATTTCTGCATGCATATATAGTTGTTTTTGTAAATGGAATACTTGTCTTTTAACGAATAAAAAAATCTAGTTTGTGGGAAAAATATCAAGAAAATGTTATAAACACTTATTGAAGTGTTTAAATTTTTACTTCTCTAATTACTTGTTTTAGTGATTTTAGGAAGTCGGTGTCTGATTTTGTAAAAATTTTCAATTTTTCAATGCTGAAATCACTTGTATAAGTAGTACCTGGACTGATTATACATTGAATTAATTTTCAGGAGTAATAGGGACTCTCTCAAAACTAATCAAAAGTTGTGTCTTGAGAATAACTCCTGGTAATTGGTATTTTATACTTGCTGAAAAGTTGGCAAATGGAGGAATACAGATCTGGTGTGAACTACCTCAGGTAAAATTTGTATATTCATGATATAGGTCATGTAGGTGATAAAAAGCTATATTATTTACAAACATCCATTAGGGTGCAATTATTTATAAAAGATTTCAAAATACATGGTAAGTTGAGTACAGATCACTGAGATGAAAAATTAATTAAATCTAGTAAAAGCATGTTCTGGTCGCAAAAACTTCTGTATACATGATAAAATGGCAAAATTAAACAAAATCATCACTATTTTAAACTCTAATGCTATAAAAAAAAGTAGAGAGTCTGAGCAACCCTCTTTAAACATGTTAAAAAGATATTACAATAGTCATGATATTTTCTGTTCTGATGATCACTGGCTTAAAAACTGAAGCTTTTGCTCAATGTTAATCATGTTAATATATCCAATATATTCCTGAAATAAGCCTAAAGTTTGCTTAAATCTGAAACTCTGCCTTTTGATATCACAGTTAAATTTTGAAATCAAGTCCAGGCTGATATATGTTGTATTTGCATTTTCTGAGAACCATCATTCATGTCATAATCAGTCAGTGGTGCTACTTAAACAAGTGATTTCATCATCACTTATTTCAGTGATTTGATAAATTCAGTTATCACCTATTTAAGTGATTTTAGTGTTTTCTTTGATCTTCAAATGCTAATTTCATTGATTTTCCATATTTTCACAATCTTTTCTATAATTTTCCTACATAAATCAATTATCCCTTTTTCTTTGTATATAAATTTCACCAGTGCGCTTGGGCAGTAAGTTAGTGCGCTAAAGCTTTTAAAAGTACCCTAAGGCTTGGGAATTTTTCTGTAATAAAAAATTCATTAACTACTCTTACTATCAGACAAAGATCAACAATATTAGGTAACCTGATTGGTTTTCTTTAGAGTTAGAAAGATCTACTTCAAGGTTATGACCTGATCTACAAACTATTCCAGTTTTTGCATATTTTAAAAAAACTAAAAAAGTGTCAGGCTTATCAAGCAAAAGACAATTTCTGCATATACATAGTTGTTTTTTCGATGGAATTGTTGTCTTTTTACCAATAAAAAAATCAAGCTTGTGGGAAAAATATCAAGAAAATGTTATAAAAACTTATTAAAGTGATTACATTTTAACTTCTAAAATTACTTGTTTCAGTGATTTTAAAAAGTCTGTGTGAAAATTTTTAATATTTCACAGCCAAAATCACTCCAGGGAGTGATTCTGAAATCACTTGTTTAAGTAGTACCCCTGACTGATAATATCGTTTAAATATGTGATTGATGTTGGTGCCAAAGAAATTATATGAATACAAACTACTGTTAGGTAAACATCTTTCAGACAGCAACCCAATGTCAGAAATAATTAAAATACACCCAGAGGTCAACCTACAGTCTTCATCAATAAACTTATATTAATATTATTCAGTTGATTCCTTAAATTTTATTGTATAGTTCTACATTCAACACATTTAACGTCTTACTGTTCGCGTGTCTATTTTATGCCAAATCTGTATATTTATATTGAAAGTTTGATGTAATTTTATATATTTTAAAAATATATAGCTCATAATGATTTAGTAGCTCTCCACTTTATATGCTGTCATTTGATATTTGAAAGTTGTGTTGTGACCTATAATTGCCTACATGTACATCATTTGGTCTCAGGGGTATTTGTCTAATTTATCATACCACATCTTTGTTAATCTCGCCTCAACAAAGTTTGGAAGATGAGACTTCAGCGTGCTATTTCCAGCAGTAGTGGATTTGGCAGTGATGTCAACAATGTATTACATTACAATTTAAGTTTATACAAATTGTCAAGTACAATATCAACAGTTTGATATAAAATAAGGAGATACTGTAAAGTAAGTGTATTATTATTAATTTGTTTTTAAATTCAAAATGTACATTTTCCCATGTTTTTATGCCCCCGCCGTAACAATGCGTAACGGAGGGGGCATTAAGTTTTACCCTTGTCCATCCATACGTCCGTCCGTACGTCCCAAAGTTGGTTTCCGTTCTCTAACTTTAGTTTGCCTCAACCAAATGTTATACACAATTCTTATTACCACAAAATACAGATCAAGTTTGAATTTTAGTGGCATCACTTTAACCGTTCTAGAGATGTGCCCCTTTACAAATGGAAAAATTGCTTTAGTTTGCTTCAACTAAATGTTATGAAACTTATACACAACAATAATTACCACAAAACACAGATCTAGGTCGAATTTTGGTGGCGTCACTTTTACCATTCTAGAGTTATGCCCCTTTACAAATGGAAAAATTGCTGAATTTTGCGTTTCCCTTCTCTAACTTTAGTTAGCCTCAACCAAATGTTATGAAATTTATACACAATGGTTATTACCACAAAACACAGATCAAGTTTGAATTTTGGTGGTGTCACTTTTACTGTTCTACAGTTATGCTCCTTTACAAGTGGAAAAATTGCTGAATTTTTCGTTTCCGTTCTCTAACTTAAGTTTGCTTCAACTAAATGTTATGAAACTTATACACAATACTTATTACCACAAAACTCAGATCGAGTACACATTTGGGTAGTATCACTTTTACCGCTCTTCAGTTATGTCACTTTATAACTTTATATGATATGCAAGTGGGGGCATCATCTGTGTCCCATGGACACATTCCCCATTTATTTAAAAATGTATTACCTAATATTGTTCCTAGTGTCTTGACGAAAAATTAAACATTTGTTTATTTCCACAGGGTCATTTCTTTGACGAATATGCAATGGAAGGTGTATCTAAGGAAGCTAATGAGATTTACTTAGAAGTTGCTCCAGATAATATTGTTAAAGCTCTAAAAACAGCTAGCAATGCCAAGTGGATCAAGATTAAACTGACAAAGAAACATGTCCCTTGTCTTACTTTTGAAATTGATCAGGTAGGTGGATATTGCATGGTAGTCACAGGCACTTGTTTCTGTCAATGGGGGGGTTTACTATCCGCACTCGTATGAAAGATAGTAAACCCCCCATTGACAGAAACAAGTGCCTGTGATGGTAGTGGCCTTGGTGGCTGAGTGGTCAAAGGAATACATTTACAGTGATCACTAGCCTGTCCACACTGCGGTTGAGAGTTCGAACACCACTTATGGTAAAGTGTGTTTGATTCTGATCTAACTGACAAGGATTGTCAGTTTTCCTACCAAAGGTTGTTCTATCTAGCTACTTCGGCTTCTTCCACTAAGAAAAACATGGCATCATTATATAGCCAAGTGTGCTAAATGCAGTGTTTATCACATACAATAAATGGATACGCCATTAGAAGGAAGACATTTGTTAAATTGCTTTTGATTAGTTATCAAAAATTTTAGAATATGATAGGAAAAACTAATATTTTTAGAACACTTTAGGACGTTTGAAATCTGTTCTAGTTTATAAAGACAGTTCTATAAAATAGAATTAATACTACAAGCAAGTGACTAGAAGTAAAAATTGAAGCTGAAAGTTTTCTACTTGGAGTCTTAGAAATCAAAGTTGTACATGCTGTAGATGTATTGATTTTTATACGACCACAAAAATTTTTTTGCGGTCGTATAAAAATCTTTTTATATTGGTATGACATTGGCGTCGTCGTCGTCGTCGTCCGAAGACACATTAGTTTTCGCACTCTAACTTTAGTTTAAGTGAATGGATCTCAATGAAATTTTACCATAAGGTTCAATACCACAAAAGGAAGGTGGGGATTGATTTAGGGGGTTATGGTACCAACAGTTAAGGAATTAGGGGCCAAAAAGGGGCCAAAAATAAGCATTTTTGTAACTTCCAGACATAACTTGTGTGTAAGTGTATGGATCTCTTTAACATTGTACCACAAGGTTCCATATCGCAAAGGGGATGCTGGGATTGATTTTGGGGGTAATTGCCTCCAAATTTTAGGAATTAGGGTCCAAAAAGGGGCAAAAAACAAGCATTTTTCTAGTTTAATGACAATAACTTGTGTGTAAGTCTATGGATCTCTCTGAAATTGTATCACAAGGTTCCATATCACAAAGGGAATGCTGGGATTGATTTTGGGGGTATTTGCCTCCAAATTTTAGGAATAAGGGGCCAAAAAGGGGAAAAAAACAAGCATTTTTCTGGTTTCATGACAATAACTTGTGTGTAAGTGTATGGATCTTTATGAAATTGTACTACAAGGTTCCATATCACAAAGGGAAAGCTGGAATTGAGTTTGGGGGTAATTGCCCAAAAAGTTTAGGAATAAGGGGCCAAAAATAAGCATTTTTCTAGTTTCCAGACAATAACTTGTGTTCAAGTGTATGGATCTCTCTGAAATTGTACTGCAAGGTACCATACCACAAAGGGAAGGCTGGGATTGATTTTGGGGGTAATTCCCTCCAAATGTAGTAATAAGGGGCCATAAAAGGGCAAAAAACCCAGCATTTTTCTAGTTTCAGGACAATAACTTGTGTGTAAGTGTATGGATCTTTATGAAATTGTACTGCCAGGTTCCATATCACAAAGGGAAAGCTGGGTTTGAGTTTGGGGGTAATTGCCCTTAACGCTTAGGAATTTGGGGCAAAAAAGGGGCAAAAAAACAAACATTTTTCTAGTTTCCAGACAATAACTTGTGTTCAAGTGTATGGATCTCTCTGAAATTGTACTGCAAGGTACCATACCACAAAGGGAAGGCTGGGATTGAGTTTGGGGGTGATGAATCATAATGAGGTTCAAAAAATTTGGGGGGGGGGATTTTTTTTTTCCTTTTTTTTCTTTAAAATTTTCCATTTTAAATTGGTTATTTCTGTTTTGTATATAAAAGCAAATAATAATGATATGGTTTGAATAGGTAAATTAAAAAATTTTAAGTTCTTAGACCACTTTCATTCTGTGTCAGAAACCTATGCTGTGTCAAATATTTAATTACAATCCAAATTCAGTGCTGTATCAAGCTTGAATGTTATGTCCATACTTGCCCCAACTGTTCAGGGTTCGACCTCTGCAGTAGTATCAAGCTGCGCCCCAGCGGAGCATTTTATTTTATAAGCAACTATAAAACAAAGTGTACTAATAAATACATGTGTATACTGATCATAGCAGCACATGTTTTAATATCTTTGTTTTGCACATTCATTATCATTGATATGTTAAGTTATAAAAAAAAAGTGAACAAAAATAAATCTTTTGCATGCATATGTGCGTACAAATATGCTGTATTAAAAATTCATGTAACATTTTCAAAGAATCCTTTATTACCAGAAGAATTTCAAACTGCTTGTTGTACAGTGTTTTTTTTATGAAAATTTATTTTAAAATATGAATAAAGAGAGATAAAGGGTAAATATAATGATCAAAGACAAAAACAACTACAAAATCCAAAAGATGACTACAGGTACCAAACAAAAACTAGAAAAAAAACAAACCAAAGATGACTACATATACCAAACATAAAGTATTAAAAAAAAACATACCAAACTAAGACAAGTAAAAAAACATGCCCTATTATTTGTATTTTCAGCCAACATTAAGTTCCCACAGCAGAACAGTCGTCCACGATGTACCAGTTTCTGTTATACCCCGGAGATTATGGGAAGACTACGAAGAACCTGGACTTCCACACTTTGATGTGAGAATTCATTCTTTAGATGTTATTCATGTGTTAACCTAGTATTGACATGTTGACTGTAGAAAGGTTTATTCATAATTATTCCTCTGCTCCAGAAGAGAGGGGATGCTGGTTTATGTCTCTCTATCCATGTTTCCATCAGTCAGTCTGTACCTTGAAAATTTTGTCCCACTTAACTCATACTTGTCAACCTATGACAATGAAAATGCAGGTGATGACCTGCATAGAAGAATGAAATCTCAGGTCATAACGCTACAAACTTTTTCGAGCTGAATTTCAGTATTTAGGGGACATTTTTCTTATAATATATATCAAAGTTTCCAAAACATGTCCGCATGGTTAAGTAATTTAGAATTGTACATTTTATTATTTCATTGCACTTGGAGGCCATTGAAAGATTTGTGTTACATTGCCTTTATTCCTGTTCATATTCAGTCCATGGCATACAATGTGCCAATTTGTGTTTTCATTGCATACATTTGTATTCTTTCAATAGGACAGTACATGTACATTGTCCAAAAATATAAAACAACACAGGTAAAGCAAGTCAAACAGAGATAATGTTTTATTTCCTTCACCATTTTATGACCAACAATGTATAATATAAATCTAGATCCTTGAAAAGGGGCGTTCTGAATTTGAATCAAGTTTCATGTGTGCATGCTATATGGTGTGATGCATTTTCACATCCACCGCCCATCAACTTCCTGTTTACAGAATAGTGGGGTATCATTTATGAGAAATAGCTCACATCTCAATTTGTTTTTGTTCAGTTTTATTTAAAGTAGAAGATTTATGCTGCACTGACTTATTTATTGCAGAACTTCATTTACTGTGGATTCATTTATTTTCGTGGGTATCAATTTTCGTGGATTGAGGAAAACTTGCATTTTCTTGGATATTTGATTTCGTGGTTTTTCAAAAATCTTCATATAGTCATACAGCAAATTTGTAATTCGTTGAACATTTAAATTCATGGTTTCCCTGTACCCACGAATTCCATGAAAATTGGTATCCAACGAATAATAATGATTCCACAGTACACTTACAAGTTCATGGATTGCTGTACATTTGTCATTCTTTATTTCCACAGGTCAGTATAGCTATGCCACAGATGAAGTTATTGAAGAACATGATAGATAAAATGAAAAATCTCAGTAATCATATGGTAAATATAGAAATCTATTATATTATAAAGGAAAGTAAACTAATGCCTGGTAGATAATTAGTTTGATAATCTATTATCTGTAATACCTTACCAAAACATGAACAGTTTGTAGAACTATTTTTGAGTTGATATAAAGAAGCAAGCTACATATTTCATAATACATCACACATACTGAATATCTTGTGTTCAAAACATTTTTCTGAATTGCTCTTCATAGTAGACTCTCTGATCTGAAGTTATGAAAGCCATGGGAAAGTAAAAACAAGAACGACACAAGTCTAATCAACTTGAAACTTAGTACACATGTTCCCTATGATATGATCTTTCTAATTTTAATGCCAAATTAGAGTTTTGACCCCATTTTCATGGTCCACTGAACATAGAAAATGATGGTGCGAGTGGGACATCCATGTACAATGGACACATTCTTGTTATATTTATTTCAGAAACATTTTTTCTTTTTTTTTTAAATTTTGGGATACTTTTATTTGGGTTTCAGTTTCATTATAATAAGTAATAGGATCACACAAGGTCATGTAAAAAATACAGTGCTTTAGGTGAATAATAATTTATTATAAGTTTAACCTTTAACTAATAATAACAATGTCTTACTTTGGACGAAAATGTAAGATTTTCCCTCCGCTTCAGAACTGTCCAACAGCATCAAACTAGACGGTCTTGGATGATTTTCTGTTGGTGTGTTACACCTGTACATATTAAAATTTTGAGCTTTAAGGTTGGTGCCATAGTTTTTGAGCAGATAATGTGTTGAGGTTCAGAGACTGTCAGAATTTATATAAGGAGATGAAATTTTATGTTAAATGAGCCTTTTGTTTGTTAAAGGTTCTATCAGCCAATCAGAATGGAGAAATGAAATTAAGTGTAGAAACAGATATGGCAGCTGTCAGTACACATTTCAGAGACCTGATCAACCCTTCAAGTTAGTATACTGAATATCATATTATTTTTATCGTTAAGGTAAAGTAACACTTTATACCAGTTGTAATCACTACTAATTTATAGATTGAAGTGAATGGACTACCATCAAAACTGTTATTACTTAACAAGGTTATGTGCATCTATCTGTTATAACAAATAAATCAATCCCAAACCATGACCAGAGTGGTAAAATACTTGTTATTTGGTGTACATAAAATAGACAGCAAACTAAAAACACGATTGAGGATGTTTAGATATGATAAAGTTACAATGAAAAATTTTAATTGAGAAAATAATGACGATTAGTCAATATAATTCAATACACCTTATCGCTATTCCCGCTTGACCCGAGAATCTGTCCCGCTCGAACTTTTGACGTCATACAACAATCACTTTTCCATTGTGGCGTCAGACATTTTCTATTATGACGTCAAAATTTTACGGGAACTTGTGTGATGTCCAGTAATGGCGGACAAATAGCGATAAGGTGTATACAATAGGAGTAAAGAAAATCTTTCTTTCTGAAATGAAACATTATTTATTCTTTGAAACATTTATTAATTGTGAGCTCAACCATGAAACCTATTCTTTCAACAAAGTAACATTTATTTGTATTGGTCAATTTGATGATTTTCACATTTGTATTTAGCTCTAGACCAAGTACCATGTTCACATGACAGTTCTCCAGAAAGGGTGAAAGATCCCAATGAGTTCAGCAAGGCCAGGATAGATATCAGAAAATTTGCCCAGTTTCTATCAGGACAGCTGGTTAATCCAACTAAAGTTATATGTAGTGAGTACTTGTGTTATAAAATTGTTCTTCCGACTTAAATGATATTTAGTAATTAGAAAGATCTGTTATAGTAACTTCCAAATGCACTGAAATAATTAGGGTTAGCAGTGCTCTTTTTTAAGTTTAAAAGCACTTAAAAGTGTAGCTTATTATGCACCAATTTGTAGCGAGATGTCTATTTTTTACGGTACAAATTAAAAAAAAATATGTCTGTTTAAGTTTTTTTCAATGCTTTACAGATTGATTATATGATAATTATTGATAATCTTTTTGAAAAAAGATTATCAATCTTTTTTCAAAAAGATTATCAATAATCTTTTTGAAAAAAGAAAAAAATATTTAAGGTAACCTGTGTTGTTTTAAACAAAAGTAAAACTAACTTTTTTTCTGAAAAATGAGGAAATTTTCATTTTAAGTTATGTGTGTCAAGGCTTCTATCTCAACATCATGTACAATGTGGTAAAGATATTAAATAAATAATAAATCAGCCATTCATCATATACATTGACCTTGTAAAGCTAGTTTTGTCAGTTTAAGGGTTTCGAATCTTCACAAATAACCTGTTAGATGGTTTATATCAATGAAACTATTTGTTTTACATCGATACTTGCCTTTAACTATTCAGTATGTCTTTTAGTTTATTTAGTTTATATGTCTTTTGTTTTTGTCTCGAATTACAGAGTCAAAAAGCGAGACAAAGGTATGCTATTTCAGGCGACGGCGGCAGAGTCGTCAACAATGTACTAGTTTGCTATTGGGCCATTTTTTGGGGAACCACTAGTTGTAGGTCAATGATATTGGGGGGAGGGGGGGTATGTAGTTGTATTAGCATTGGCACACCTCATTTCCATGGAGATTGTTTGGCCATCTACATGTTAAAATATTGCTATTTTAGTTTCAACATTTGCATTTTTCTATCTAAGTAATAAAATGGCTGTGTTAACAGTTATTTTGTATCATTGGGTTGCTGTCTCATTGATGTAAACCCAATATTTCCTTTAATTAATTAATGATTTCTATTGATTATTTCAAGTTTCAGATAACAAGTAACCACTTTTTACTAGAAAATATTGAATACAAATACAAGATGTAATTTTAGCAAACAAAAAATGACACACAGGAAATGAAAGACATGAGTAGAAAATTTCAATAAACAGTCAAGTTAGTTTATGTTGCTGCTTGTTAATTTCAGGTACTGGAATTATTCACTATGACAAAGAGTCATTTTCAAACGAATACGTGATTATCAGCTACTAAATTTTATGATTTGATGTCATTTATTTTCACAGATATTGTTCACAACAAAGTTGTGCACTTCCTATTGCTGAATGAAGATGTCTCATTACAGTACTTCATGCCAGTTGTAGCTTCATGATACAGGATAAGAATTGTATGGTTGTGTGAAGGGAGACAACTAGGAATTGATGACGGATTTCAAATTGTATCAAGGGAGATGAATATGTCCAATTTTACAATTTAAAGCCAATTCAGTCCTTCAGCATTTCACTTCTTTTTTTATCATAGATTTGGAGTATGTTCAACACAGTTAATACTGTTTCATGTGAGGTTATTGTAATATTTATAACCTAACACAAAAGGGAAAAGAAAAATATATAATCTTTTGTTCATTGACAGCACATAGTTCAATGAAAATTGTTTAGAACAAAATCTTTTTAAAAAGTTCAACATGGCTTTAAATATTGGTGAGAACAGTAATACCTTATTTGTCATGAGTTTCTATGTTAAACATGTTCTATAGAGCCACATGAATCATTGATTTAATATCAGTTGAATATAATCAATAGAAAGTCATTGATTTTAATCAATGAAACAAGTTGTGAAAATATCAGTGTTGTTCACTTTCAATGGTATGATTAAAAATGGAGAAAAGATTTGTAGAAAAATGAACTTATACTGTTAATGATATTTATTGTACATATTTACTTAACTTGTAATAATCAGTATGTGTTGCGATGTTGTTGATTAAATTGCAGAACTCCAATATGTATTAGTTCATTTATAAAAAAGTTTTGACTTATTACTTATGGACTATGTTATGCCATATCAAAGGGTTCAAACTGGTGAATGAAAATTTGACATTTTAGAAATGTGCTATGCTTTTGACATTTAACAGCTATTCATAGATTTATTCACTGTCTGTCATTCACAATTAAGAGAAAGTATACAATTTGCACCTTGATTACCTGAGCTGGCAGATATTTAACTAGTTAGGTTTTGTTATATCAAGTAACAGATCAAATGTTTTATTAAAGGTGGTATTATTTTACAGAATTGCTACCCTTTTCAAACGTATTTTTGCTGTACCAGCATATATTAAGGTTAATTCTGATAAACAGATGTGTAATGGAAATCGTCACATTTTTGTGTTTGGTTTTTGCCAAACCTGCGACTTCTGTCGTAGAAAGCTAAACATAGGGATAGTGATTGGACGACGGCGTTAACCAACTACTTAAAAGCTGAATATTTCAGAAGGTAGAAGACCTGAATGCTTCATACTTTGTATATAGATGCCTTATGTTACGAAGTTTCTGTCTGTCATATGTCCTTTGTCCTTGACCTCATTTTCATGGTTCAGTGACAGCTCGAAAAAAAGTTCAGATTTTTTGTAATGTTAATTTCTCTCTTATTATGAGTAATAGGATAACTATATTTGGTATGTGCGTACCTTGCATGGTCCTCATGCCTGTCAGACAGTTACACTTGACCTCGACCTCATTTCATGGATCAGTGAACGAGATTAAGCTTTCGTGGTCAAGTCCATAACTCAGATACTATAAGCAATAGGTCTACTATATTTGGTGTATTGAATGATTGTAAGGTGTACATGTCCAACTGGCAGGTGTCATCTCACCTTGACCTCATTTTCATGGTTCAGTGGTTAAGTTAAGTTTTTGTGTTTTGGTTTATTTTTATGCCCCCGCCGTAACGGAGGGGACATTAAGTTTTACCCTTGTCCGTCTGTATGTACGTACGTCCCAAAGTTGGTTTCTGTTCTCTAACTTTAGTTTGCCTCATGTTATGAAACTTATACTCAATGCTTATTACCACAAGATACAGATCAAGTTTGAATTTTAGTGGTGTCACATTTACTGTTCTAGAGTTATGCCCCTTTACAAATGGAAATTTTTTTGTTTCCGTTCTCTAACTTAAGTTAGCCTCAACCAAATGTTATGAAACTTATACTCAATGCTAATAACCACAAGATACAGATCAAGTTTGAATTTTGGTGGTGTCACATTTACTGTTCTAGAGTTATGCTCCTTTACAAATGGAAAAATTGCTGAATTTCTCGTTTCCGTTCTCTAAATTAAGTTTGCCTCAACCAGATAATAAGAAACTTATACACAATACTTATTACCACAAAACTCAGATCAAGTACAAATTTGGGTAGCGTATCTTTTACCGCTCTTCAGTTATGTCCCTTTATAACTTTATATGATATGCAAGTGGGGGCATCATCTGTGTCCCATGGACACATTCCCCATTTATTTTAATACTGTATGCAATAGGTCAGCTTTATTTGGTGTATGGAAATTCTTTACGATGTTCATGTAAGTCTGGCAGGTTTTACTTGACCTTGACCTCATTTTCACAGTTCATTGCTCAATGTTCAGTTTCTGTGTTTTGGTTGGTTTTTCTTAAAATATAAGCAATAGGTCAACTATATTTGGTGTTTGTATGGAATGATTGTAAGGTTTATATGTCTATCTGGCAGGTATCATCTGACCTTGACCTCATTTTCATGGTTCTTTGGTCAATGTCAATGTTTTCTTGGTTAAGTTTGTTTCTGAGATACTGTATTTAATAAGTCAATAAAATTGAGAATGGAAATGGGGAATGTGTCAAAGAGACAACAACCCGACCATAGAGCAGACAACAGCCGAAGGCCACCAATGTTTCTTCAATGCAGCAAGAAACTCCCGCACCTGGAGGTGTCCTTCAGCTGGCCCCTAAACAAATAAGTATACTAGTTCAGTGATGATGGACGTCATACTAAACTCCAAATTATACACAGAAAACCAAAATTAAAAATGATACAAGACTAACAAAGGCCAGAGGCTCCTGACTTGGGACAGGCGCAAAAATGCGGCGGGGTTAAACATGTTTACTTTATTTGATCCATGGAATGATTGTAAGGTGATGATAATGGAAGTTTTTAACGACCTTGACTGGCTATACAGCCCTCGCACGGTCGGTTTGTAATGTGTACATGTCTGTCTGGCAGGGTTCATCTGACCTCATACTTGTGGTTCATTGGTCAATATAAAGTTTTCATGGTTTTGTCTGTTTCTTGTATACTATAAGAAATAGGTCAACAAAATTCAATGTATTGAATGATTGTAAGGTGTACATGTATTTCTGGCTTGGTTTATCTGACCTTGACCTCATTTTCTTGGATCATGTTAAGTTAATGTGATACTTGTAGTAAAACTTTATATTTAGGGCTATCAACATAACATCAATGGTAGTAAAGCAGGCGAGACATTTCAGCGTGTGCACTCTTGTGATTTATCTACTTTTGTGGAAATTATATCCCTTGGAATTAGCACATTTCATGGCAATTCTAATTTATATACAATCCACAGATACTTAGCCAACTTTTTATTGGTACTTGCATAAGGTAGAATTTCATAACAATTATTGGTTTTCCTTCTGGCGGATATACTTTTTTCACTACATAAAACTATGATATTATGTATACATCAATAAGACAGCAACCAACATACCACAAAAGGCAGGTACATTATTTCAAGCTTTAAACTGTCAATGATCTGTCATCAACATCATTAGCAAGAAACATAAGACATGTTCACTGATGAGGTTCCATACTTAAGACTTGAACATGAATATGCAGTGACATTTACCTCTATATTCAGTCTTTTTTCATCAGTTAATGCCAAAAACATACACAACAACATTAAAACAAGTATGATATAGTGGTAGCAATAAACAAATCTGCCTCACAGGACGAAGTGTTGTAAAGTAATATAGGAATCAATCATGGTCATTGCAAGTTTTGTTTTAGCTTAAATACCTTATTATACATGTCAACCATCAGTGAGTTTGTGGCAGATAAGGTTGGAATGTTTTTTTTGCAAGTCAATGTCACATGATGTTAATATCAAAATTTGCAAAGTGTGCAGATCAGAAGTTTTGAATGATTTGAAATTTATTCAATTGTTGCTCTCCATTAAAGGATGTGTAATTAAAATGACTGCAAAGTCAACAGTTCAACTCTACTTACCACATAATCGAACTTACAAATAGATACAATTGTTCTGAATGGATAGCATTTTGAGGGATTTTTTCAATACAGATTGTAGACTAAATATAGAAAGTCAGTTCCACTATATAGACACAGGGCGCCCAAAACCATGTTTAACCCTGCCACATTCTATAATGCCTCTCCCAAGTCAGGATCCTGTAATTGAGTGGTTGTCATTTATTGTTTTGTAGTTTGTTGTGTTGTTGTACCACTTCCCCAGTTTGTGGAGGGTTGGGCTCCCACTAACATGTTTAACCTAGCCACATTCTATATGTGCCTGTACCAAGTCAGGATCCTGTAACTGAGTGGTGTCATTTATTGTTTTGTAGTTTGTTGTGCTGTTGTACCACTTCCCCAGTTTGGGGAGGGTTGGGCTCCCACTAACATGTTTAACCTAGCCACATTCTATATGTGCCTGTACCAAGTCAGGATCCTGTAATTGAGTGGTTGTCATTTATTGTTTTGTAGTTTGTTGTGCTGTTGTACCACTTCCCCAGTTTGTGGAGGGTTGGGCTCCCACTAACATGTTTAACCTAGCCACATTCTATAATGCCTCTCCCAAGTCAGGATCCTGTAATGAGTGGTGTCATTTATTGTTTTGTAGTTTGTTGTGCTGTTGTACCACTTCCCCAGTTTGGGGAGGGTTGGGCTCCCACTAACATGTTTAACCTAGCCACATTCTATATGTGCCTGTACCAAGTCAGGATCCTGTAATTGAGTGGTTGTCATTTATTGTTTTGTAGTTTGTTGTGCTGTTGTACCACTTCCCCAGTTTGTGGAGGGTTGGGCTCCCACTAACATGTTTAACCTAGGCACATTCTATAATGCCTCTCCCAAGTCAGGATCCTGTAATTGAGTGGTTGTCATTTATTGTTTTGTAGTTTGTTGTGCTGTTGTACCACTTCCCCAGTTTGTGGAGGGTTGGGCTCCCACTAACATGTTTAACCTAGCCACATTCTATAATGCCTCTCCCAAGTCAGGATCCTGTAACTGAGTGGTTGTCATTTATTGTTTTGTAGTTTGTTGTGCTGTTGTACCACTTCCCCAGTTTGTGGAGGGTTGGGCTCCCACTAACATGTTTAACCTAGCCACATTTTATAATGCCTCTCCCAAGTCAGGATCCTGTAATTGAGTGGTTGTCATTTATTGTTTTGTAGTTTGTTGTGCTGTTGTACCACTTCCCCAGTTTGTGGAGGGTTGGGCTCCCACTAACATGTTTAACCTAGCCACATTCTATATGTGCCTGTACCAAGTCAGGATCCTGTAATTGAGTGGTTGTCATTTATTGTTTTGTAGTTTGTTGTGCTGTTGTACCACTTCCCCAGTTTGGGGAGGGTTGGGCTCCCACTAACATGTTTAACCTAGCCACATTCTATATGTGCCTGTACCAAGTCAGGATCCTGTAATTGAGTGGTTGTCATTTATTGTTTTGTAGTTTGTTGTGCTGTTGTACCACTTCCCCAGTTTGTGGAGGTTGGGCTCCCACTAACATGTTTAACCTAGCCACATTCTATAATGCCTCTCCCAAGTCAGGATCCTGTAATTGAGTGGTTGTCATTTATTGTTTTGTAGTTTGTTGTGCTGTTGTACCACTTCCCCAGTTTGGGGAGGGTTGGGCTCCCACTAACATGTTTAACCTAGCCACATTCTATATGTGCCTGTACCAAGTCAGGATCCTGTAATTGAGTGGTTGTCATTTATTGTTTTGTAGTTTGTTGTGCTGTTGTACCACTTCCCCAGTTTGTGGAGGTTGGGCTCCCACTAACATGTTTAACCTAGCCACATTCTATAATGCCTCTCCCAAGTCAGGATCCTGTAATTGAGTGGTTGTCATTTATTGTTTTGTAGTTTGTTGTGCTGTTGTACCACTTCCCCAGTTTGGGGAGGGTTGGGCTCCCACTAACATGTTTAACCTAGCCACATTCTATAATGCCTCTCCCAAGTCAGGATCCTGTAATTGAGTGGTTGTCATTTATTGTTTTGTAGTTTGTTGTGCTGTTGTACCACTTCCCCAGTTTGTGGAGGTTGGGCTCCCACTAACATGTTTAACCTAGCCACATTCTATAATGCCTCTCCCAAGTCAGGATCCTGTAACTGAGTGGTTGTCATTTATTGTTTTGTAGTTTGTTGTGCTGTTGTACCACTTCCCCAGTTTGGAGAGGGTTGGGCTCCCACTAACATGTTTAACCTAGCCACATTCTATAATGCCTCTCCCAAGTCAGGATCCTGTAACTGAGTGGTTGTCATTTATTGTTTTGTGGTTTGTTGTGCTGTTGTACCACTTCCCCAGTTTGTGGAGGGTTGGGCTCCCACTAACATGTTTAACCTAGCCACATTCTATATGTGCCTGTACCAAGTCAGGAGCCTGTAATTGAGTGGTTGTCATTTATTGTTTTGTGGTTTGTTGTGCTGTTGTACCACTTCCCCAGTTTGTGGAGGGTTGGGCTCCCACTAACATGTTTAACCTAGGCACATTCTATAATGCCTCTCCCAAGTCAGGATCCTGTAATTGAGTGGTTGTCATTTATTGTTTTGTAGTTTGTTGTGCTGTTGTACCACTTCCCCAGTTTGGGGAGGGTTGGGCTCCCACTAACATGTTTAACCTAGCCACATTCTGTATGTGCCTGTACCAAGTCAGGATCCTGTAATTGAGTGGTTGTCATTTATTGTTTTGTAGTTTGTTGTGCTGTTGTACCACTTCCCCAGTTTGTGGAGGTTTGGGCTCCCGCTAACATGTTTAACCTAACCACATTCTATATGTGCCTGTACCAAGTCAGGATCCTGTAATTGAGTGGTTGTCATTTATTGTTTTGTAGTTTGTTGTGCTGTTGTACCACTTCCCCAGTTTGTGGAGGGTTGGGCTCCCACTAACATGTTTAACCTAGCCACATTCTATATGTGCCTGTACCAAGTCAGGATCCTGTAATTGAGTGGTTGTCATTTATTGTTTTGTTCTTTGTTGTGCTGTTGTACCACTTCCCCAGTTTGGGGAGGGTTGGGCTCCCACTAACATGTTTAACCTAGCCACATTCTATAATGCCTCTCCCAAGTCAGGATCCTGTAACTGAGTGGTGTCATTTATTGTTTTGTAGTTTGTTGTGCTGTTGTACCACTTCCCCAGTTTGTGGAGGGTTGGGCTCCCACTAACATGTTTAACCTAGCCACATTCTATATGTGCCTGTACCAAGTCAGGAGCCTGTAATCTAGTGGTTGTTTGTTGCTGTATATCATATTTGTTTTTCGTTTATTGCTTTGTTCATAAATCAGGCTGTTAGTTTGAATTGTCTTGTATATGTCATTTGGGGCCATTTATAGCTTGTTATGCAGTATGGGTTTTGCTCATTGTTGAAGGCTGTAAGTTGACCTCTTGCTAACTTCTTCGTCATTGGTCTGTGGAGGAGAGTTGTCTCATTTGCAATCATACCACATATTCTTATCTTTATACAAGAATTCACTACTAATTTCAAAATTAAAGACTAGTGAACAGCTTGGGTTATTTGATCCTGTATGCTGTAATGTCATGCTGTGGTCTTTAAAGATGTAGATTAGAAGGCATTGTTTTTATCAATACATTAACACCAATACAATATTATATATTTATTGCACATTATATAAAATGTAAATGCTTGGAATCTAAATAAACATAATTATACAACCTATTGCAGCACCAAGGGGCTTGAATCACTTGTTTAGGTATCATTTAGTTTAATGTGTACCATCAATGATGCACTACTCATGGTTTACTCAAATTATCCCTGTGCTTTTTAAGAAAAGTATTTTTTTCTTCTTCAGGTTTTTAGGTTGGGTCTTTGAATGCTATCAGTTAATGTATACACATGTTATCAGATGCATGAAAACATCTTTAACACAGAATTTAAAGGTTGATTCAAAAAGGTTCAGTACATACAAGTTTACATGGTTTATGTACAAGGATGATTCTAATTAGTGGGTTTTGTTGTACATTTTTGAAAAAAATAACCTACAGTGACATGCACTAAGTAAAGGCAATTATAAACATTAACTTCACAAAATCTAAAGAATTAATTACAATAAATGTGGATAGTGTCCACATGTAGACACAGATGATGCCCCCGCTTGCATATCATATAGTTATAAAGGGACATAACTGAAGAACGGTAAAAGTTACGCTACCCAAATTTGAACTTGATCTGAGTTTTGTGGTAATAAGCAGTGTGTGTAAGTCTCATAACATTTGGTTGATGCAAACTAAAGTTAGAAAAGGGAAACAAAAAATTTGTACTTGATCTTAGTTTTGTGGTAATGAATATTGTGTATAGGTTTCATAATGTTTAGTTGATGCAAACTTAAGTTACAGAATGGAAACTAAAAATTTTGCAATCTTTCGATTTATAAAGGGGCATAACTCAATAATGATTAAAGTGACACTACCTAAATTCAACTTGATCTGTGTTTTATCAGTGGAAGTCAAAATTAAACATTGCATTGTATAAAGCATCGATTGTAGTTGATTCAACTATAATCATGGACAAAGGAAGATAACTCCAATTTTATTACAATTACTTGTTATTTAGAAGAAAATAAAAATTCTGCATTTTTTTCATTTCTAAAGGGGCATAACTCTAGAATGGTTGAAATGACGCCACCAAAATTCAAACTTGATCTGTGTTTTGTGGTAATAAGCATTGTGTATAAGTTACATAACATTTGGTTGAGGCAAACTTAATTTAGAGATTGGAAACGAAAAATTCAGCATTTTTTTCCATTTGTAAAGAGGCATAACTCTAGAACAATAAAAGTGACGCCACCAAAATTCAAACTTGATCTGTGTCTTGTGGTTATTAGCATTGTGTATAAGTTTCATAACATTTGGTTGAGGCAATCTAAAGTTAGAGAACAGAAACGATAAATTCAGCAATTTTCCATTTGTAAAGGGGCATAACTCTAGAACAGTAAAAGTGATGCCACCAAAATTCAACTTGATCTGTGTTTCGTGGTAATAAGCATTGTGTATAAGTTTCATAACATTTGGTTGAGGCAAACTAAAGTTAGAGAACGGAAACCAATTTTGGGACGTACGTACGTACAGACGGACAATGGTAAAACTTAATGCCCCCTCCGCTACGGCTGGGGCATAAAAACAAATTATGTACATCAAAATAATGTGATTGGTTTATAACAACAAATTGAATATTCAACCCATGGTGAAACATTTACTTTTTCGTGTACCCCAGTGCATACATATTTTTAAATGGTGAGATAAAGGCATATAAATAACACATAGCAGTGTTCATGTTAAAACTACAAAAATACAATTATCTGAAACATATTGCGACCTCACAAAAAGCAATATAAAAACATAAGCAAAACGTAAAAAAAGGAAAACAACCTATAGACTTTAATGACTTATTTTTAATGCTTACATGGAACCCCCACAGATATAAGACAATGACAAACATTAGATGGAATTAACATATAATTATGCAATCAAGTGGAGTTCGTTATTATAAATAAAACCAATGTAAACGTATATGAATAAAAGAAGATGTAGCACATACATTAATGAGACAACAGCCCAACGCACACAAACCTTAAAAGACCTGTACAACACAATACAATAATGATTTATTATAAACCCTCTATCATATACACATATACAAAGTACAGTCACATTTATACCCAGAGATCATATAAAGAAATCAACAACTTTAATTGGAGTATATCAATAATTACTACATATACTTAAACATGTTAAAACTAACTTTGAAAAGAACAAAGATACATTTTTGTACAAAATTGTAAAGGTCAACATACAGTGTTCAATAGATAAGTGTCTATATTGCACATCAACAATAGCAACTTAGTCAGCTGATATAAACATGTAAATCTATCATAAAAACATAGAATTTACTGAAGTAATAAGAACAAGTGAAACTGTGAGCTACTGCTCACTGATGATACCCCGCCCAAATATTTCGGTGATTAATCTGAAAACGCATCACACAGTAAAGCTGACTCATATAAACCCTGAAACCATATTTCAGAAATCCTGGTAATGTAGTTCCTGAAAAAAATATTCATGGGACGGACGGACTGACTGATGGATGGACGGATGGACAGACAGAGGTAAAAACAGTATACCCCCACTTTTTTAAAGCGGGGGTATAATAATAAAGATAATGAGATGTTGTATGACTGCCAATGAAACAACTCTACACCTTAATAAAACACTATTTAAAAAATGCAACTTGACTTCTTTTTAAATGGTTCATTTACACTGCTCAATTGTAAAACTAATTTGTCAAGTGGGACTTTAACATTCATCTGAAAACCCCCCAAAAATAATAAGGTTTCAAAAAACATATAATTAGAAAAGAGAATATTAAGAAACAAATAAAACTTGTCCAGATAAGACTGGGTCCCTGTTCCACACAACACTAGTAACCATTTCTGTCAGTTGTTCAGTTTGAGTTTCATCCTGCAAAAAAACAAATGTTTTTAAAGAACAAATTTATATGAAAACAAATAGAAAATACATGTACATGTAACTACTGATACATGAACTTCTTTATATTATAAAAAACATTAAATGTGTATCAACTAATTAAATGTCAATGTATTTTATACAAATGATATAAAAGAAAAATGAATAATTTTTGCAATATGTAAGAGAAAGCTTTACCATTAAGGTCAGGGTTTTATAGTTTGTTGGTTTACATATTTTTTATGTGAAAGATTTGGATCGGTCGGTCAGAAAAAAAATAAATAAAAAACAATGTATAGAATTACTGTGTACTTCAGCTTTATTACAATATTTGTGATCTTTTTAGTTCCAAATAATTTTTCTCAGCTGTTTTAAACATACAATGCATGTCATCGTCATAAATTTGTAAAAAGGGCGGATATGTGCATAAATGATCATTTCACAATGAATTAAAAAAAAAATAGCTAAACTTTCCTTTCTTTTAATATTGCCGAAACACAGTGAATAATAAGCTTTAAGCAGGAAAGCATGTGAACAAAAATTGCAAACATGTCATTGTGTGTTGCATGAAAATGACCGTATACAAAACCGTGAAGAAGTAACTCTTCCAATGAGAAAGACAGGGATATTGGTTTTATCCTTTTGTACAGGTAAAAATGGACAAAACATTTTCCAACAACCTGTGAAACCCAAATTGATTGTGGTTATCTTCTGTTACTTTTACTTAATGTCTTTCCTGTCTGGATGTGTCTATTTCATATACTAGTATGAGGACGAAATGACAAAATAGCTTATTAAAATCAAATCTCACGGGATTATGACAAGAAAGAAAAGGAACTTATTGTAAAGAGCTATTAACATACTGCTTTCCTTCCGTAAAATTATTAGGGTAAACAACATGTTCAAATTTGTTCAATCTATTTTAAGAACTTTATTTTAAGAACACAAACTCAACGGATTATTTTTAGATTTTTATTTAACACAACAGACTATGTGCGACCATTACTGTTTATATTCAAATATGAAACCATAATGCACATAATTTGAATGTAATGGTTCTTCACACATTCTTTCATTTATATTTCAGGGATAATGAATTTGGCAGAGCAGGCTGAAATTAAAAAAAAAAAGCATGAAATTTCAATTATAATTTTTTACTCTAAAAATCTGAAAAATTTTGGATGGCGGCTCCAAAAACCAAAAAATTAAAAACCCTGGCCTAAAACACATATAAAACATATCAAGTGGCAATGCAAGCAACAAAATGACAAAATATTTATTCTATTTTTATTTTTAAAATTGATGACAAACATATCTTTCACTTCTTGATTTTGGCAGACATTTTCAAGATATTTGAAAAGCATTTTGTTTTTTGATGTAAAAATTAAACAAATTATTTATGCTTTTCTTTGATGGTGTTAGAAAGTTGCAACTTGATAATTACCTGATAAACAACACAGTAAACAAGTGTTTCTTTGTCTTGATGTTTTTTCTTGAGATTTTTCATCAATCTTATAATGGTGAGATGATAACTTTCACATGGGATTTCTCTCACAACTAGCATCAATACTCTGTCCAGTAAATAACAGGCAGAATTATCACAATGACTGATAAACTTATCAGAACATGCCACCATATGTTGTGTTAAATGTTCATTACAATCCACCACATGAATAAAAACTGAGGGTTCTATATTGTTTTCTTTGTTTTGGTCTTCTTGTAATTGATGTATCTAATGTAAAAAATGTACATATTAAAAATACACATTAAATAACTTAATAAGATATTTTTCAATGAGGTACACAGTATTCATTTTAAGGTGTTGGTTTCTGTCTTATGTCCTATTTTATGGTGTTCACATCTACATATTGTATTTTAATAAACCAATTTTTCCACCTATCAGTGAGCCATTGTTCTACTAATTGAATGTGCATTTCAAAATTATTAATCTGGGAGCTGCTTCTATATTTGTTTAGGCCATGCAAAAAAGATTGTTGGTTTCCCTTAACCCTGCCGGGTCTGTTTTTACCCTCTGGGTTAATTTTTTTTTAACACGAGATGAAAAAAAGAGCAAGACTCTCTTTTCAAACAATTATCAATGAGGTTTTGATTGTCAGATAAATTCTTTTTGAAAATTTTCAATTGAGTTACCTCCCCTAAATTAAATGTGTTGCTGTTTTTGGAAAAAAAAGTTTCTAACATTTAGATTAAAAAAATATATATATCTTCATAAAAATAAATCAAATTTCTATTTCAAAAATTGCTTATTTCAGTTAAATTCTTTGTAATTCATTTGCATCCTAGATGACAATGACAGCCAGCCATAATACCGGTACACAGAAACAATGAGGGTACTTTAAAGAAAAACAAATCAGACAAATAAACTAATGAAGACCATTTGATCTCTAGAAACCTTATGTTGGCTAACTTGTATTGTAGGGCTGCTGCTCATTGATAGATTTCTGTTTAAAGTTATTCATAAATAAAAGAACAGAGTTCCAATGACCCAGCGTTGCACATATTTTATCTATCCAAGGTACAAGGGCAATAACTAAAAAAAACACCTTTTTTTTGTTCTATAAGACTTTTTATGAATATCATGAGAGCGCTTACAATTCAATTTTCCATATAATTAATGTTTCCAAGGAGCATAACTCTTTTAAAAATAATTGATCGGCACTGATTTTCGAACTGGTCCAAGACATTGCTGATATAAACCTATGATATAAGTTTCATAAAAATCTGGCAAGAATTGAACAAATGAGAGCGCTAACGATGCAATTTTCCATATAATTAATGTTTCCAAGGGCCATAACTCTTTTAAATATAATTGGTCAGCACTGATTTTTGAACTCGTCCAAGATTTTGCTGATATAAACCTATGATATAAGTTTCATAAAAATCTGGCAAGAATTGTACATGTGAGAGCGCTAACAAGACCAGACGGATGGACGGACGCCCAGTATTTCTATGTCCCCCGCAACGTGAGGAGATGTGGTATGATTGCCAGTGAGACATCTATCTTAAACTTGCAGTGAGGTGAGAGTTTTTTTTGCTCCATGTTGAAGGCCTCACTGTGACTTTGAGATATAGAACGGCAATAAAAGAGCTGTTCCTTTGCTTTTTGTGTTTTTTTGCTGTGCATGTACTGATTTTGTGTCATGGATGGATACCCCATAACCTTTGTTTTTCTATTATCTACCAGAGTTAAAATGAGAACCAAAAACTGTAAAATATAAGGGCAAACACAACAAGCATGGGGACACAATCTACAGCATCCACATAGCACCAGCAATGTTTATAATACTTTATTATCTCACCTTGAATTTTTTTCGCTGAAATTGTTTAGTCAGTGACTCTCTTAAACGAACATCTTCACAATTCAAACATACAGAAATGTCAGATTCTGAAAAAAAACATTTTTCATGAATAAATACTAAAACAGTATCTATTTCATTTCATTTCGAATGAATTATGAAAAACAGATTTGTGATTTACTTCTTGACAATAGTCAGAAACAGTAATGAGCATTTTAAAATAACCTAAATATTAAGATAGGGTTTACGTTTACATGAATATGATTGCAAATGAGACAACTATACACCACTAGAGACCAAAGGACAAGGATGCAAACAAAACCCATAACATATCTTTAGCTATAAATGTACACACTTTTAAAGGAGAGGTATGCTAACAGCCCCTGACTTGTCAATGATGTAAAAGAATTTTACATTTTTAACATGATCATCATTACCTTTCAAAATTCCTTCTGCTGCAAATATATCCTTCTTGTGTGTAACCTGTAAAGAAAATATAGTAAACTGTTTTAAATCATGCACAATGGAAGAATAGTTCAGTCATGCACAATGGAAGAATAGTTCAGACTGTTTTTTCTTGTGTGTAATCTTGAATAAAAGATTGTTTTTTCTTGTGTGTAATCTTGAATAAAAAAAAATAGTCAGTTGCAAATGAATAGAATTGAAATTACAGAATTTTAAAAGTAAATTTCACAGTTTCAAAATTGAAATGAAACATGTAGCAAGTGAAAGGAAGGCAAAATACAAATAACATCAGATTCACAACTTTCCAGCCAGACTTGGAAGCTAAATATATATTAAAATAAGTTTTACAAAATCAAATAAATAAGCTAAATGCAGTAATTACCACTGCAGAAACTAACTTTCCATAAATTACTTGATCCTTCAACCAGTCTAGCCTTAACTCCAGAATATTTGGATGCTAAGAGCAAGCATTCAGTACCATAATCAAAATCATAATCTGTTGCCTGCAAAGAATCATTATTCAGTATCGATCATTATCATTTGACAAATCTTTTTGTAATCTTTTTTATTTCATTGATAACATTTGATCATATACTTCTAAAGGATTATATTTGTGGTTTGTTATGTTGTTTGGTTTCTGTCACCTTTATATATATCCCACATTTCTTTTTATTAATACAGCTGTTCTTATAAATATCATTTTCAACATTTACTTTGTCAGTTGTGGAACTTTATTCCATCTACATGGGTTAGCTAATGGAGAGTGAAATAAATTGCTTCTCCGAGCGCAGCTGGATACGACCGCAGAGGTCCAACCCTGAACAGTTGGGGCAAAATGGATGCAATATTCGCGCTTGATACAGGTCTGAATTTGGATTGTAATTAAATATTTGACACATAAAAGGTTTCTGACACAGAATAAGTGTAGTCAAAGAACTTAGAATTTGTTATGTGATTTTAATTTCTATTCAATTTTTTGCTTTTGTGCAATACACTCTGCTGTTGCGAATTGACCCCCCCTCCCCCCACAAAAAAAAATAAAAAATTTACCCCCCCCCTTTTATTTTGCTTTTGTGCAATACACTATGCTGTTGTGTATTAACCCCCCCCCCCCCATTTTTCTTTTTAATTTCTGAAATCTGAAATGAGAAAAAATTGACCCCCCACAATTTCTTTTTACCCCCCCCCCCCCCCCCCCCCCCTTTTCCCCAAAAGAAATTCTTTCCCTCAAGATATGGTCATAATCTCAATTCAAATTTCCAATGGAGTTTGCTAACTTAATCTATTTTATAAAAGAATTTAAAATATGGTGTCAAATCTTTCATATGGATTTTTTTGTAAAAAAAAAAATGCAACATTTGCAGATATTTTTACTGGTTTTCCTTTATAAATATGCATTTCTTTAAACATAATTTAAAAAGCAGTGTATGGGAGGTATTTGAATTACCTCCCTTACACTGCTTTAAATTATGTTTTGTATTAAAGTATTTGTCCATTAACCAGGACACCCTTGTTTTTCCCCCTTTTTTGCCACTAATTCCTAAACGGTTTGAGCCCCCCAAAGCAAATCCTAACCATCCCTTTGTGATATGGAAACTTGTGGTATAATTTCAGAGAGATCCATACACCGTTCCACAAGTTATTTTCTGGAAACTGGAAAAATGCTTATTTTTGGCCCCTTTTTTGGCCCCTAATTCCTTAATTGTTTGTACCATAACCCCCAAAATCAATCCCAACCTTCCTTTTGTGGTATTGAACCTTATGGTAAAATTTCATAGAGATCCATTCACTTAAACATAAGTTATTGTGCGAAAACCAATGTGTCTTGGGACGACGACGATGACGACGCCAACATCATACCAATATATGACTGCAAAAATTTTTTGCGGTCGTATAAAAAAAGGCCAAGTGGTTTTAATTTTTGTGATTTTGTTAATAATCAAACATTATAAATGTAGAACTTTTTTGTTCTGATGACAACATTCATTTGTCAAAATTTTGTAAAATTGTTCTGGCTGTTATGAATTAGGTTAGCCTTCCACTGTTAATTCCATAAAACATGTACTTTATACCATTGCATACGTAACCATTTCATTCTATTTCATTCCATTCATTGCATTGTTTTGTATACCGGTATATGTTATTGTTATTTGTGATTTTGTTAATGTTAATCAAACAAAAGCTTAGAGCATTCTAAGTTCTCTGAATGCCAGGACTTTATGCTCATCATTTAAGACCACACTTAGTTAAATTGGTTTGTTCAAACAGTTGTTGAAATAGTTTTACTGTAAAATATTTTTTACCACAGCATATCACATGATCACTAAAACAACTGGGATTTTGTACAGATTTTAAGACTTCAATAATCTGTTGTAGACATTGAAAAAAATGAAACTAAGGTTAAATATGCAAAGCTCGAAATATTTCTGATCAACATTCAAAGATTCTTTCAAGTCCCAAATAACTTTTTAATCCAAATGAAATGAATACCAACCTTCTGGTAAGCTGTGGATATAACACTATAATGAAATCCTTGTGGCATTTCACTGGCTCTGTATCTGTTTCTGTCTAATGACTCCTCCAAAAATCCATCGGAATCAGGGGCAATAACTGTTGATATTAAAGGTCTGTAAACACCTGATGCCTGAATAATTAACATGATTTTAATAGATAAAACAGAAGATAAATATATAACAAACAAAATAGCTCAATATGACTTCCCAGTGTGGGTATGTATGTTTTTTAATGCCATGGAAGCTTAATTGACAGTGAGACATCACCGCTTTTGCAACTAAAATAGAACAAGGTTGTTTTTAGGGTGTCGAATATAAAATTGGTGATGAATTTCACTATCTGTTTAAATGTACTTTTTTCTCAAATGAAAGAAAAAGGCTTTTGCCTTATAATGTGTATAAAAATCCTAATACTATAAAGTGTAGTGAACTTTTTTGTTCTGATGTCCACAGTTTATTCGTCAAACTTGAAAAACTTTGTAAAACTGTTCTGTCTGTTATAAATTAGATGCACCTTCCACTGTTAATTCCATAACACATGTACATTATACCATTGCATACATAACCATTTCACTCCATTCATTGCATTGTTTTTGTATATATGTTATTGTTTTTATTACTGTTAATATTCACCCTTGATGGGGTATTGATAAATAAAAGTTTCAAGTTTCAAGAAACACAGGATTTAATTTACATGTATTATGAACAGCTGTGACAATGTGAAATATTATTGCAACATAGAGTGGTCTTAGAACAGCATTACAATTGTTTTGTTGTATTATATAAATACTCTGGTGGTAACCTGATGTTCACTAAAACAGGTAGATAATTACATAATTTTATCTATCTTATGTCATTGCATTTTCTATGTCCTATATTCAATTTGTGTTCAAAGGTTAACACACGGCGTTTCCTGGCTTCTTCTCCGCTTCAGAATGTAATAAAATTTGATAAAAAGAAGATTTCTAGGTGCAAAATGTGAGTTTTTTGGCTTATTATTGGAGAAATTACATGTCAATACATTCCGGAATTCAAAATGTCTGCTTTCTTAGTTACAGACAGGGAGATAGAGAATTTTACGCTTATTGTCATCCAATCAGAACCATTGACACAAAATAATTGCATTAGAATAGTATCTGGATGGTGTGGAATGGTTCAATAAAATGACACTATCTACATGTGCATGTACCTACACTTTTTGTTTAACAAACATGTCATTTTCATTCACCTCTGAACAAAATTTCTGGGACCTCCCCTCCTTTGATGTATATGAAAAGTAAACAAAGCTTGTGAAACTATATTTTTTTAAGCAATGTCAAAACAAAGATTTTATATATTAAATATATATTTCATATTTTACATTCTGCATCATGATTATATATTATAGAAAAACATGTTAATCTAAAACCTTGTGTTCCTTTGCTGTCATGGCGATCTGTGTAATGGTCTGTTCATCTGTAAACATTCTGACAGCATCATGAATGAGAACCACATCATCAGGTTTACAAACTGAAAGATACACAACTAGAGATGAATGACTATAAATAAAGAAGTGATACCAGGGTCAATGAGACATCAAACAGATGTATATAAATCTTAATGGTATCAGTTAATTAAAAATATTCCAACACTGGATAATTTGCTATAATAGTAACTGGTATAAAGATGAGATACATTTTTTTCTCACTGTTATGGAAGACCCTTGAGTGACTTTGAGTTTTAAACAGAAATTGATTGATAAACACTTATTCCTATTTTTCATTTTTTTTTTATTTCCTGTAACTGTGTTTTGTGTATTTATCTCAAACTGTATGATATTATGTTTGTTGTGTAAATAAGCACTTGTTTCTAAATGTTTGTTGTACACAAAATCTTAACATATATATGGAGGAAACAATGATTCATTCATTCATTCATTAAACAAAATCAACATATATCTTAGTACATAGTGTTATAAAAAATTTATCATTACAAAAACTGCAACTTGATAATCACCTGTTTCCAGTGCTTTGACACCATTGTAAATTGACCTGTGTCTTGTTGGAGATCCAGTAACTATCTTTACTTTAGTAAATTTGTATTTTGTTAGTAAATTCTGCATGATCTCCAGATAACTTACATCAACCACAACAACAATCATTTTTATCCAGCTTAGTCTGAAAATTGGAAAAAAAGACTGAAATTGATACATCACATAATTTCAATACATCATAAAAACATGATATATTTCTGATAAAAAAGAGGGATGTACTGTCTACGTTCACCCTTCTCAATCAGCCACTGACAATACTTCAGTAGAAAAATTTAAATATATCACTTTAATATAATCTTTATGCATCAGAATTGCTTTTCTGGATTATCTGTAAACTGTTAAATATTAAATACCTTAGTAAATTTGGCAGGCGAAGCGAGCCAAAAATATTTTGAACATTTTGGGGCAAGAATATTTATTTTCATGTGTGATAAGGCAAGATTATTTATTTCCAACTAAATAGGGGCCAGAATATTTATTTTCAAAAGCTGCATGTCCCCCTCAGAATCAAATGGTTGTCCCATTTAGTAAGAACACTGGTGTAACACTCCTCAATGGCACATTGGTCTTGTAGAAATGCTTCATAGCTTGTAGGGTAAGATTTGAAGATCTTCCATGCTAATCCTGGCCTTGCCAAAATTCATAACTAAAAAAGTTCATGTACTGATATATTCCTGGGTTTGTCTAAATTCACAACTGAAATAAAAGAAGAATGTGTCTGAGGACATGAATGCCCTTGCTCAACAGGCCGTAAATTACATAGAGGCATATAGGCAGTTGCCTCCTATCATTTGCCTATTGTGGGCTGACAAAAAAAAAGAAAAAACGAAGAAAAAAACACTGAAAAGAAAAAAAATGGTTAAAATCATGCATTATTATAATAGCACTGGTTGTTACTTTTACCTCTGTTAAGGAGATCGGGTCAAAATGTCAAACAGAGCAGGCAATCAAACATGGACAGTTCAACCAAAATATAAAACAAACACTATTGCTTATGTTAGCCTTGCCAGTTGGGTCTTGCAGTTGTGAGAGATCGTTTTCTGCTCTACGGCGCTTTAAACATGGAACAGGTCAACAATGACGAAAAGCAGATTGTGTGGTCTGGCTATGCTACACATACATAGAAGTGACAGTGTTGGCAATCCGGGCACAGAAAAATCGCCTTAGCATTTGACAAAGCCTAACTAAATAAAACTTTCAGTGTAAGCAAACAGTGTTACGTTATAATAATTTTAATTTGATAATTAGAGTTATGAGTTATTAAGAAATGCATTTTCATTTTAAGGTTTGAAAATTTTGTCTCTGAAATGAATTCAATATAGCTCAATTAGGACAGCCAAAAAAGCCTGATAAGCCACAAAAAAATGCTCAACTTCAGGGGGCCTTTCATTATAAGATCGCAAATTGTTTCCCTAAAACTAAGTAAAAATAGTTTGTGAATAGTCATAAAGCAGCATAAAGCGTAAAAAATATCTTTCTTTACCGGCACACGTAATCTAACTGGTTTATAACTATTTTCAATGTATTCCAGGCGCTTATTTATTGAGATACAACAAAAATTTAACAAGTGGTGAATTCTGGGGAGGTAAAATGCATACAAGGAAAAGGCCTGAAAAAAATGTCATTTTCTGCATAAAATGGGTTCAAAATTTTTTTTCGCCTCGCTCCGCCTGCCGGTCCTCAAGCTGTCTCCCTTTACAATGCAGGCATTTTACGGCCCTGCTCAAGCTTTGCAATTTTAAAAAATTAAAAAGGGGCATAACTCTAGAACGGTAAGAGACTTACTGCCCAAATTTGAACTCTGTCTGCTAGTTTTGGTTCTTAGCATTGTGTATGAGTTTTATAAAAATGGATGACAAAAACTTAAGTTAGAGTGCAGAAAGGAAAATGGGATGGACAGACAGACGGATGGAAAGACAGACTGACAGTCAAGGGTAACACATAATGCCCCCATTGCCTATGGCGGGGGCATACAAATATTTGAGTATAAGAGGTCTGTCACAATGTTTGGTGTGATCATTTCCATTCTTACAATGTACATACCTATGAAAATTGTGTATTGTGTAGACTATAAGAGGTCTGTTTAGAACTTTACTCATCTATCCCGTCGAATTTGAGATAAAGGATACAACATATACAGTTAAGTCTGCCTCATATCCTTACTAACATTTAGACATTGACAATGAAGATCAATTAAAAACAAAACTTTACAACAAAAGAGACCCAATTGTGAACTTTCCATTTCTATGTAGCAACATTCCAGCAGGGACTACAAACGGAGTATATATCTCCCAGTTGATATGGTATTCCAGGGCTTGTATTTCCTATCATGATTTCCTTGTTACAGGGTTGCTGCTCACAAGGAAGCTATTAAACAAAGAGTTCTGAGTGTTGAAATTAAAATCATCCCTTCATAAATTTTACAGACGCCATCACGAGTTGGATACATCCTAACTACAATCCAGTCCCCTTTCATCGAATGTGACCTACTGAATTAGACTTATCACCAGGTTTGTACTTACATGAGCAACAAAACAGGTGCCACATATGGAGCAGGATCTGCTTACCTGTCCGGAGCACCTGAGATCACCTCTAGTTTTTGGTGGGGTTTGTGTTGCTGAGTTTTTAGTTTTCTATGTTGGGTTTTGTGTACTGTTGTTTGTCTTTTTCTTTTTTAGTCATGGCGTTGTCAGTTTATTTTTGACTTATGAGTTTGAATGTCCCTTTGGTATCTTTCCCCTCTCTTTTACAGTATTATTTTGGTGTGTCCATCTACATTCTAACATACCTATGAAAACTATGTATTGTGTAGAGTCATGAGAGTATAAGAGGTCTATTTAGGACTTTACAGTATTGTTTTGGTGTATTTACATGTACATACCTGTGAAAACTATGTATTGTGTAGAGTATAAGAGGTCTGTTGAGGACTTTACAGTATTGTTTTGGTGTGTCCATTTCCATTCTAACACCACATCCACCAGCAGGTAAAACTACACAAACATTTTCTAAATCCATTTCTTAAACTGAAAAATAATATAACTGTTAGCATGGTTAGTGAAATATTTTACAAATGTGCATGTTTTCAATTTTTTTAAGTTCCTGTAAACTTTAAATAATGAATATATTTTTGACAAAAACAAGGTGGCACTTGTGCTCCGTCGTGTCTATTCAACTTAGTTAACAAACAAAAAAGATTCAGAATAAACATTGATAAAGCTTGTTTTTTGCTAAAAAATGGTTTCAAACAAATAAAAAGTGATCATCATGATCGTATATAAATTTTAAAAAAAAAGGAAAAGAAAGACATATTATAGGGAAAATGTAAGCATATTGTCAAGTGATAAAGTATGTAAGTTTACTTCAGTATTGAATGCAGATTGAAAAGATGAATGCAGATTGAAAAGAGGTTTGTGTGGCAATTTTTGTTGTTTTCAAATATAAATTATATAATTTAAAAAAAAGAATAAATAAAGGTATTTTGAATTGCTAAGTAATATTACTTACTATTGTACCAACGTAAATTTCTGAGGTAGACATGGTACATGTACATGATGAGGATAAATCTTGCCATCAATTTGAATGATAACAGGATAATAAGGCTAAAAATTTCCATTTTCTATTAAGACACACATACATTTTAATTTGTCTAAACCAGGTGTAAGCCCATTGTGTAGAGGTGCAGAAAATTTAAAATAATGGTTCTTTTTCAAATAATAATGTATTGGTTTAAAGCATGAAAATGCGTGGTCTATAAGCTTGCATAAATTTCTCAACAATGCATTATTTCAATATAGTAAATCTGCTCAGTGTATTATAAAATTATTGTGAAAAAGTAAGAACTGGCAAATCGAAACTTTCATATCTTATTATTTCATTAATAGAATTGGTTATATGATTTGAATTTATATTCAATTTTTTTATTTTGAGCAATACACTATGCTGTTGCAAATTAACCCCCCCCCCCAAAAAAAAAAAAATTTTCACCCACCTTTTTTTTTGGCAAAAAAAATGTTTTTCACCCCACCCTTTTTAAAAAAAAAAAAAAAAAAAAAATTATATTTGAAGAAATTTTCTTTTTAATTTCTGAAATCTGTAATGAGAAAAAAAAAATTGCCCCCCCCCCCCTCCCCTTTTTCCAAAAAAAAAATCGTTCCCTCAAGATATGGTCATTATCTTAATTCAAATTTCCAATGGAGTTTGCAACCATAATTACCCATTTAAATACATCATAAAAGTCTTAAAATAATTTTTCTTTAATCAGCATTTTTATTAGTAACTTCTAAAAATAAATTGACAGCTAATCACCTCAAGACAATACAAAATTTCTTTATACATAATTTTAAAGCAGTGTAAGGGAGGTAATCCAAATTTAACATTGTAGTTAAAAGTGATTGTCCATTAACAAGGAAACCCTTGTTTTTCCCCCCTTTTTTTCCCCTAATTCCTAAACTGTTTGAGCCATTACCCCCCAAAGCCAATTCTAACCATCCCTTTGTGGTATGGAAACTTGTTGTACAATTTCAGAGAGATCCATACACCGTTCCACAAGTTGTTTTCTGAAAACTAGAAAAATGCTTATTTGGGCCCCTTTTTTGGTCCCTAATTCCTAAACTGTTAGGACCATAACCCCCAAAATCAATCCCAACCTTCCTTTTGTGGTTATAAACCTTGTGTTTAAATTTCATAGATTTCTATTAACTAATACTAAAGTTATTGTCCGGAAACCAAGTGTCTTCGGACGACGACGACATGATACCAATATACGACCACAAAAAATTTTTGCAGTCATATAAAAACATGGACTCCTCCAATGTCCAGTCTGAAGGTAAAAAAATTACTGTACATGCTTGTGTAAAATGAATGGAAATGAACACACCAAAACAATCATAACCTGTTGTCATACATCAAGCTTTTGAAATATATAAATATTTTAGTTCAGCAACTTTAAAAAAAAAGTTAGTTTAAGATATATTAAATAATTATTATAGAAGATTTTTTTATCATATCTTTATAAACATGAGCTATATATCATGTATATAGTAAATAAATTTGTATATTTAAAAGACTTTACATATCCTTCAGCAATGTTGAGTAAATCAACAAGTAATTTTTTAAACTTGTATAGAAGAAACACAGAACAAGCCAATTGCTATTTGACCAAAAAAGGTAATTTCTTTCTTTCTAATTTTTTTTAACTTCAGAGTTAATTATTAATAAGGATCTTAAAACATGTACATAGTAATATTTGCAAGACAAGTCCTTATCTAAAACAAACTCTTTACATTGATTGAATCAGGAAAGATAGGAATTATTTCTTCCCTACATCTACATGTCATGCATGCATAGTGTAGACAGAGACATTTAACTTTTTTGTTATTGCTACGAATAGAATAGAATATTTTTATTCACTAAATTAGGGCCCCAGGAGGACATATACAGGTAGCATATATATAAACAATATCATTATAAACAATAACATATGCAATGCAACCTAGACAATACATTTGTAGATATGGAATAAAAAAAAGAAAAAAAGAAACACACACCAAAATAACAATCAATAACAACAACACATTATAATTCAATTTATATTATGTTAACATTGACTTAAGTGCACCTGAGGTACATGTAAGTGTATTTTGACTATTGAATAAACTGAAGGCTTAAGTAGTTTAAGCCTTATGGAGAAATCTCTATACAAAAAAACACAGAAAACACCCACACAATTGACTAAAAGATATACTAAAAATAACATTGAAACGGATATTATGACTAATCTGCAGTAAGCACCAAGAGTCGATACTTAAAGCCAAGTTAAAGGGAAATCCCAACTTGTACTTTAAATGATTGATTGACAAAAATGCGTACTTAATGTGCAGTACATTATGTAGATGAGTCAAACTCCTAAATAATTAATAAAAATTAAAAAAATTTTTTTTTAAGGTAATCGATTCTGTGTCTATAGCTAGGGAGCAATGATCATCAAGGAACTGTGCTACAGAATATTGAATTCTTCTTATGCTCAGTGCAGGCTTAACATCTAACCAAACTCATATCAAAGTATCAAATGGAAATTAGTTATTACAGATTATGTTTTCCTTTAATCATTAGTATTTTTTATAATTTATAACATGCATATAATACATTGGGATATCATTGTTCATTGTCCAAACTATTTTGTTGTTACACATGTTACATGTACTTTGTTAGTATCTAAATATTGGAAGTTTGGACATAATTTTAATATACTTGCATCAATACCTCTCTTTTAAATAAATGGGTGTCACATTTAAATAAGAAATGAAGTTCATCTTCAACCTGACCTGAGGTACACCTGAGACAAATTCGGTTTTGTCAAAGAGTACCCTGGTATCTGCAAGATTCAATTTGCAATTTGTGAGCAGATACAGTGTATTCTTAATCTAGTAATACATTTCTTTTGCTCAAAAAGTCGTATTATTGACAAATAATTTTTCAAACCAAAACTACACATGAATGTTACACAAGTTTGTAGTTTACCATCTTTATAGTAAATCTAGCTGTTCCACAATGCATCCCTTAATGGGGTCTCATTGGGGGGTTCTGATTCCCATATCCCGCTTACACTATGTACGTAAGCAATTCTCATTTTTTTGTAATTTCCCATGTCCCGCTAAACTTCATTTCCCGTTTTCACAGCACAATAATTTGACTTTCACTTGTCACGCTTACAAAAAATTGGCAATCCCGGGTCACGCTTAGACCCCAATGAGACTCACTTAATTAACAATCTGACCACAGTGCAACATATTTCTGGTATATGGTTTTCTTTACCTGAATTTTTTCCTTTAAAACATAAATTGATCCATACAAAGAAGACCTTTTATTAAATTTGTTTCAAATAGCTTTTTTTATTTTATATTCCTTCTCTCTTTATTACTTTAATAAAAAAATATTACTTTGCAAAACATGTTAAAATTTTAAAACATTCTTTGATAAGGATTGGATCTTGGACCTACAATTTCATTTGTCCCAAGTACAAAAAGTACGTTGTTGCTTTGATTGTTCAATATTCAATATTTAAAATTTACCTATTTTACCACGTGTATTTGTTTTTGTTTATGTGGAAAATAGATGAAATATTTGTTACGCGTAATATTATTGGACACTGAAGTTTTCTTTCATTTTTTGGCCAATCAGAGAGTTCGTTCTTTCTGTGCATCGGAAAGCAGTCCAAAATGTCGGACGATGGATCTTCACAAAAATCCTGCGTATTTTTTAAGAAAAGCAGGAAAAATCAGACCACTAGAAAGCGAAAAACATCAGACTCTGATGGTATAACATAATTTGTTTAATACTTTATCATAATATTGGGAAAATATTTTAAAATTCTGAGATCAGACAGGCAAAACACCAACGTAATTTTTAATTTTGACGTATTTCCGACGTCCATGTACATAATTTAAAGCCCTATAGATGTTAATATTGTATTGTGAAATAATAAAATTACAAATTTTAGACGTCTTTGTAGCATGTATCTAAGTAAAGCATGTTCTTTAATGTTCTTTGTGATTGTTAGAGATTTTCTTTTGAGTTTTGACAGTAACAGTTAAAAGTTGAATAAACTTTTGTTATTTTGGATTGATGGTTTATATTCACCTATCTTTCAGTGGATCTAGATTGATTTGGTTTAGAATTAATGTCATACTACTTGGTCTGTATCTCTAAGATGTTATGAATCTTGATTCTCTTTTCTGAATGCTATAGAGTTAGTACTGTAAATAAATTTTATAAGGGTCAGCTGTGCTTGCATAATCATGTATTTTATGACATGTACATGTATGGTGCAGTTGGGTGTATCCGTGTACCTAAGACTTTTGGCTCCACTTTGGTAATCTCATAAAGCCAATAATCGGATAATATTGTGTGAACAAATTCATGACATACTTTAATATCATGAGATCTTCTTTATGCATGGTTTCACCGTTAAGATTTTATGTAATGTGTGTCCACAATTAGGGAAACCATGCATGCCTTCTAAAAATAGCTAATTTTGTTTACAGGAAAGATTTTATACACGAAATATAGTTCAGTTTGAACCAAACAGACTGCCAAGGATGTGGAGCAAAATTTATTTCATTTTGATAAGAAATTGACTTAAATTGAAACCAAATTCATCTAATGATGTATTTTTTTTTTTAATGGAAAATGGCTAAATATGATTAATCATGGGATTGCAATTATAAATTTATGCTTGAACTTATCAATTTTAATCTTTTTTGTCCTTTCGGAAGACTAAAACAATTACAAGAACGATTGTATTTGTGTAACATTGCGGATATGACGAAATCAGGTAATGTGAGATATCAAGGGCACAGGGGATTCCACTGTATATTGTTTTCCCCAATGTAAATCACTATTAATGCTCACTCGAAGTGATTATTTACCATCAAAGTTTACAAAAAGAAATTAAAAAACAATGTACATGTACCAAGCATGCCAAGTACATACATGTACATTGTACTTAATGAAATAAAAAAAAAAACAGTTTACATGCGTAAGTGCATCAGAGAAACTGAAAATGTTTTAAAACTTCCCAGCAAATACTCCAATGTATTTGAAAGTAATTGAAAAAGTAATTCATAGTTACAATTAACATGGCAAAAAATTGTAATTCATTACTTTCAATTACAGGTTACATGTATTAAACATATGCTCAATTACACAATCATGACATTCATTTTTTGACATTATAGCACTTTAAATTATTTTCAAATTTATAATTAATTACATGCAATAACAATTACATTTTTAATTGCCCAAGGTTTGCTCACTGCCAGGTTTTTTCTTATTGATATTAAGAATACCAGTTCTATGCATTTCAAGGTGTACATAAATTATGTGTTGTTTTTAGTCCCCTACTGACGAAGTCTAAGGGGACTTTAGGTTTGCACTCCGTCTGTCTGTCCGTCTGTCCATCTGTGAGTCCGGCAAATCAGCTTTCCACACTTTTTTTCTTCGTTCTTGAAGATATTGATTTGATATTTGGTATATAGTTTTATCATGACTAGTTATAGATCAAGTTCGAATTTTGTTTCGGTCTGATGATTTAGTCCAGAGTTATGGACCATATCTAATGTTAGAGTACTATGTTAAACCATATTTCTGTACAAAGGGAGATAACTCATTTTTAAAGGACATTCTTTGTTAAATTATTTGAAGAATTTTTTGGCAGGTTTGTTTGCTATTTAGTATAAACTAATTTTCTGAATGCTATAGATATAAAAAAAATTATGATGAGAAATCCTTTAATTAGATAATAATCTATTTTTAGTAATGTATATATTTCAATACATTACATTGTGTAGATAAAAGTTGTTGACATTTTATTATAGATAAGTTACAAATCTATATTAGTTTGTGACGAATGAAAGAAAAAATATTTGGAACTAATAATTATATTTGATTATAATTTGAAAATAGATATACACTGTATTACATCATATCTAATTTTAGAGAACTATTAATCATATCTAATGTTTTTTTTCACTCGTATAAACAGTTTTCCACAGTCATGCTTGAGATATTGACATGATATTTACTTTTTGTTTACACCATGACAAGTTATAGCACAAGTTAGCTTTTTGTTCCAGTAAAATGAATTTTTACCCGGTAGGGGACTATGTATTGCCATGCAATACTCTCAGAATGCTTGTTTTATTTGCGACTTATGGTCATCATGTTGCATTTGAAAGGTTTGAAATGTATTCCTCAAGTTTAAGCCTTAGGCAATGTTAGGTGTCTATGTCTTTCTGGAGCTCCAAGCAGGCTTGGCTGTTGTTTATTTTTCAAAAGAACACAGTCGTCTGCAAATAGTATGATCTCCGATGTTACATGATCAGCTGTGTCGTTATTATGGACCAGGAACAGGATTGGACAGAGAATTATTACCCGAGTGACTCCTGAAAGAACTGTTGAATCATCAGGTTTACTCCCATTTACAACTACAAGTTGTGACTTGTTTCAGTTGTTTTATGCTTTTCAGTAGCTCATGTGACACTGTTGCTTTAATTTGTACAATTAATCAAATTTTAACCCAAAGATTTGCAATTTTTAGTTAACATTTTTTCGTTGGCTACTACAGTCAGGGATATAACTCTATAGGGTTATTACAGAAAAATAACATACATTTGTTATTGTCGACTAAAAAATCAAAGAACTGTGATAACATATGTATGTTACATGTTTCAAAGGGACAATATACATCATTAGTTTAGTTAAAATGTATAAAAGTTCTATTGATATTACTTTTGTCTATATGTATACTTAACTATTGAAAGATATAACAGTTCATAGTTTGCCAATTTTGCATAGTACACCTATATGTTATTACAGAAAAAATATGCCTGTAATAACTAAAGGGTGTTATCACAGCTTCTCTATATCACTTCAAAGCATTTGCTCAGACATACATCATGCTTAATTACAATGTATTTTAATTTATTGTAAGAAATAATGACCAGAGCATGTAATGAGGTTCTGCGCAAGTTTCTCAGTAATTCCCAAGTGTCTTATATAATAAGTTACATTCCTTTAATAACTAAGCCTTGTTATTACAGCTAAGTTTATCCCTTAATAGCCTCGTCTCATTGATTTACCATGGTTAATCAAAAATGAATTAATTTAATTAAAAAATTAGTTTCTGCGCAAAGTCTCAAGAGTTCCCTAGAGCCCACTATAAATGAAATAATTTTACAAATAACAAACATATGTTATTACAGATTTAGAAAATTTAAGGAATAAAGAGTAGACAACTCATGAAAGTATCTGTAATAACACACGCAAGTTATTTTCTGTAATAACCCTATAGAGTTATATCTCTGACTGTACTACAAAATGCATTTACCTTCAAATCAACAGTTGACATGTCATGATCTGTCATAACTAAGGAGTGAGCCGCCATATTGATTTGCTGAAATCCATAAATGTTGGATCAATTCAATAGAATCGAAAGGGAGACAATAAAATTGAGAATGGAAATGGTTAATGTGTCAAAGAGACAACAACCCGACCATAGAACAGACAACAGCAGAAGGTCACCAACAGGTCTTCAATGCAGCGAGAAATTCCCGCACCCTGAGGCGTCCTTCAGCTGGCCCCTAAACAAATATATATACTAGTTCAGTGATAATGAACGCCATACTAAACTCCAAATTGTACACAAGAAACTAAAATTAAAAATAATACAAGACTAACAAAGGCTAGAGGCTCCTGACTTGGGACAGGCACAAAAATGCGGCGGGGTTAAACATGTTTATGAGATCTCAGCCCTCCCCCTATACCTCTAGCCAATGTAGAAAAGTAAACGCATAACAATACGCACATTATAATTCAGTTCAAGAGAAGTCCGAGTCTGATGTCAGAAGATGTAACCAAAGAAAATAAACAAAATGACAATAATACATAAATAACAACAGACTACTAGCAGTTAACTGACATGCCAGCTCCAGACTTCAATTAAACTGATTGAAAGATTATGTCTTCATCATATGAATATCAGGCACAATCCTTCCCGTTAGGGGTTTAGTATCATACCATCATAACATATATGAGAAGAATAATAACCCGTGTCATGCCAACAACTGGTTTTTAAATAAATGTGTTTAGTGCCGATGCAAAGACCCTATAAGTGAATCAATATTACTGCCAAAATATGCAATCTTTAATGACCTGACAACAGTATCGTAACTATATCCCTTCTTAATAAGTCTATTTAAAGGTTTTGTTAGCTTCAGAGGTGAATACTGACATTTTTGTGCTTTATAAAGAATATTTCCATGAAAAATTGGATGTGAAATACCTGAACGTATAAGAAGTCTGCATGTTGAGCTATATTTACGAATGATGTCCTTATACCGATGATAAAATTTAGTAAATGTTTTGACTAGTTTGTGATATCGAAAACTCTGGTGTAATAATTTTTCAGTAATACATAAATTTCTCTCGTTAAAATCTAAAACATTGTTACATACACGAGCGAATCGTACAAGTTGAGATATATAAACACCGTAAGATGGTGACAAGGGAACGTCACCATCTAAAAATGGATAATTAACGATAGGAAATGAAAAATCATCTCTTTTATCATATATTTTAGTATTAAGCTTTCCATTAATGATATAGATATCAAGATCGAGGAAAGGGCAGTGGTCATTGTTAGTATTAGCTTTATTTAAAGTAAGTTCAACAGGATAAATTTCTTTAGTATACATACTGAAGTCGTCATTATTGAGAGCCAAAATATCATCCAAATATCTAAAAGTATTATTAAATTTGTGTATCAGATGTTGTTTCGATGGGTCTTTGCTGATTTTTAGGCAGTTAAGCTGCCTTATGCGAGCACCCTAGATTTGTGTTCTACCCAATAAATGCTGAAATACGTGCCAATGTTATTATCTAGCTGGATATAATGTTATTTATAACTAATTGAATAGTTTTTTCATACTTTTAATTCTGGATTACAAAAATATGACCAGAAAAAACCTTAAATGATCGTCGAACCACCCAAAAGTTTTGAAGTTGCACATAGGAAGTAGAGCACATTAGGAATCCTTATGTAGTTTATTATCCCCTGTGCTTTTGGCTAAGATGTCAAAAAACAATTGTATGAAATATTTAATCGCCGAAAATCTTTAAAGACAAGTAGTTTAGATTTCCCAAATGGCAAAAGTCGTAGGAATATTGTTTGTCGTCAATACGTGGTACAACTACGTCAGTAGTCTATTAATAAGTTCAACTGTTCATGCTGTTGGCGGCAATTTCAAATTAGAAGACGAAATTTTCGTATCATTTCAATTTGGAGGCAGGGGTTCAAATTAGCGGTGGTCCGAGGTCCGCGACCTTCCACTTTTGCAATCGGACTCTCGACTTGGTTACTAGCTACGCCCGACGGACCTTTCACTTGAAAGAAATTAAAAATAACTTTGCAAACCTTTTTACCAAAGTCTCTAAATAAACGATCTCAAAACGTATTTTCATCTTTATTATTCATAACAGCGATGTTCATTTTGTTCAACCGCTAGCTTTATACAGATAATCGCCGACAAGTAATGTGTAAATTCGAGTAAAATCGTATCTGACTGACAAAAACAACATCGAAAAACAATGGATGCCGTGTAGACAATTACAATATCGGGTCCGATTCCGGAAGCGGATAAGGGTAATTCCTGGTTTTGGAGATCAACTACAAAAAAAAAATTTCAGGCAGGTGACAAAATACATCTATGCATGGTAAATAAATATAAACACTAGAAATGGAAACCAAAAGATATATGTAAAAGAAAGAAAAAGCAAAAAATATTTGATACAGAAACTCAAAATTACTTTCTGACAAATTTTAATGTCCAAATCCCTGAATACAATGTGACAGCTGGGAACAGTATATCTAACAATATATATGTTCCTGGTGACAGTATAAATCTTCTTTATCAGTGATAAATGTTGATAATGCATGTAAGATGCTTTTAAAGTGTAAACATATTACTGCAATTTTTTTCTCAATTTTGAAGGGTCAGTTAAAATAGCTGGAAGTTTCTTACTTTGTTTTCACAAATAGTGCAACTAGATTATATGATACCTGAATGTAAGCAAATCATATGATATATAGGTGGAATCTTTTGGGTCACTCTACCCCCTCCTGTTTGATAACTTTGAAACGGATGAGATCCCCACTCCTAAACCATATATATTCATGTATGGGACTATATAACTAATCAAATGAAATATAGGGGGAAGTCCCTAGGGTTACCCCACCCCTCCTGTTTGAGAACTTGGAAACAGTCGAGATCCCCACCCCTAAACCATATATATTCATGTATGGGACAATATAACTAATCAAATGAAATACAGGGGAGTCCCTGGGGTCACCCCAACCCTCCTGTTTGGGAACTTTGAAATGGTCGAGATCCCCACCCCTAAACCAAATATATTCATGTATGGGACAATATAATAAATCAAATGAAATATAGAGGGAGTCCCTGCGGTCACCCCACCCCTCCTGTTTGAGAATTTGGAAACGGTCAAGATCCCAAGACAAGACAAGACAATTTATTTAAACTTAAGCACACGTATGGTCCTACAAGAGGATAACAATTATACATTAACAATTACATATATACTTATACATTTACAAGCAAGACACACAATAAATAAATAAGTGATATCATACAATAAAATTGAAATAAACCATATTTGGTTGATTTGTTTGCAAAATTCTTAATTGCAACGTGGATATGAAGTTATTGTAACATGCTTTGTATTATGAAAATATTTTTTCAATATGTCTTAGAAACATGCACACTTTTGTTAGCAGTGGCACGTTACAGTGTGATAATAGACCAGTAAGTTTCAATTGGGAAGGATTTTGTGTGTAATATGTAGGTATATACCTTTCTCTTAAAGACATAATTTGTTCATTGGAGCATACAAAAAAATAATGATCCCATAAACCATACATATTCATGTATGTGACAATATAACAAATGAAATGAAATATAGGGGGAGAACTTGGAAACGGTCGAGATCCCCACCCCTTAACCATATATATTCATGTATGGGACAATATAACAAATCATATGAAATATAGGTTGAGTGCTTGGGGCCACTCTACCCCTTCCTGTTTGAGAATTTGAAAACGGTCGAGATCCCCACCCTAAACCATATATATTCATGTATGGGACAATATAACAAATCAAATGAAATATAGGGCAGCTCCTATGGTCACTGTAAACCATCCTGTTTGAGAACTTGGAAACAGTCGAGATCCTCACCCCGAAACCATATATATTCATGTATGGGACTATATAACAAATCAAATGAAATATAGGGGAGTCCCTGCAGTCACCCCACCCCTCCTGTTTGAGAACTTGGAAGCAGTCGAGATCCCGACCTCTAAATTAAACCATATATATTCATGTATGGGACAGCAGAACTTATCAAATGAAATATTGTCCTGTTTGATAACTTGGAAACAGATGAGATCCCCACCCCTAAACCATATATACTCATGTATTTGGCAATATAACAAATCAAATGAAATATAGGGGAAGTCACTGGGGTCACCCCACCCCCTCCTGTTTGAAAACTTGATAACGGCCGAGATCCCCACCCCTAAACCATATATATATTCATGTATGGGACAACATAAAAAATCAAATGAAATATAGGGGTAGTCCCTAAGGTCACCCCATCCCCTCTTGTGTGTGTTTTAAGAACTTGTAAAAGTTTGAGATACCAACTCCTAAACCATATTCATTCCTGTTCGTGATTTCAAACAGATTTGAATGACATACAAGGTCAATCTCATAGGCATCACATATGCATATCACTTTACTAGACCTAATCAATGTGTACTAGACTTTGCCCAATGTCAGGCGACCATGGGAATGAATAATTATGGGAGCTTTGTTTGGGAGACTTCGTAACAGCATTCTGTTACAATTATTTCTTGTTTATTATAAAATTTTATTGATGCAAAAAATGAGTAGGTTTAAAGACTTTACCTTAATTATATTTTGAATAATTTCTGGTTCTATAAAAAATTTCATTTTAATATGGCTCATTTTAAAGAAAACATATCTTTCAAGCCCAAGAATGTTTGACCAACTTTATTATAATCACCTGTCATTTTATTCCAAACTTAGACATCATGGACTTGGGGTGAAGGCGGGGGTTATTTACATTTACTATGGGCAGGTCAGTCAGACCTCACCTTTGATCCCCGTAGTAGTAAACATTTGTCTGATTTGTGTCTCATAACTTTTGCACTGTAGAACACAAACTCAGTTTTCTTTCCAGGGAAGCAAGTCCATGCATACTATTACAAGCTCGTACTAAGTCAACTTGAACTACTAACAGTCAACTAATACCAACGTTAACTATCAACTAGAACAACTGCAATCATTTCGAACTTGTACCACTGCAGACACATGACCATTAAAAATATACTTGATATATGCGTTGCTTTGGAAAACCTTGATAAAATATGAATTATTTGCCTTAATAATTAATTCATTAAATGAACGTAAATGCACAATATATGAATGTTTAATGTTTGTTCTTTTAAATCTTAAAAAAAATGAAGCAACATAGCCACAGTTTTCATAATTATGTTTGCCTTGGTTTTTGGTTAACTGCCTACAGCGCTTACAGTGCTTTGATTGTCATAAATTGTAACTCATAGCAATACAAAAAAAGGTCCGCAATAAGTGGTGCACAGTAATACCTACCTCAAAAACTCCATTTTGATGAAATATTTCCAAATTTGAAGCCTACAACTAATGGAATATTTAACCTTCAATTTGAGAGTTTTCATTTATATCATTATGTGGTCATATCTTGCCATATAGTGCACTAAGATCATTCGTGAAATTTCACAGAAGTTTATTTCATTTAAATTTAATACAATATTTTAAGCTCTATTAATGCATAATTTCTTTTTGTTATATAGAATAAAATTTCTGTGATATTTGTTTTCAATTTCAGTTTTCTTGGAACCCCATGCCCAGGATTCTATATACGCATGTGTATAGCACATGAATAGATTATAGGGAAATCCACAGTGTTTAGTACATTTGTTGCGAAAGTAGTTTCGGTAACATGGTCTATGGAAGTGTAAACCAAGGGGGAAAATTCTAACACACCAATCACATTCAAGTATTTGTAGATATGCAAATCCTAAAGACTTATTGTTCAAAATCCTTCATGTAAAACAGGATATAAATATTTTCCATTTCAGATGACAATACTGGATACAGATTATAAAACATTGTTATTATGCTTTACATGTAATATTTTTTTATTTCAGAAGATAAGAAGGACAGTAGTAGTGATGATGGTAATGTTGTTGTGAAGAAAGGAAAGAAAGAAAGACACATAAATCCATTAAAACAATCTGTACGTATTACATTGACAACACATAAATCCATTAAATAAATCTGTATGTATTACATTGACAACACACAATCCATTAAAACAATCTGTACGTATTACATTGACAACAAATAAATCCATTAAAACAATCTGTACGTATTACATTGACGACACATAAATCCATTAAAAAAATCTGTACATATTACATTGACAACACATAAATCCATTACAACAATCTACATAAATTACATTCACAACACACAAACCCATTACAACAATCTGTAAGTATTACATTGACAACACATAAATCCATTACAACAATCTGTACGTATTACATTGACAACACATAAATCCATTAAAAAAATCTGTACGTATTACATTGACAACACATAAATCCATTAAAACAAACTGTACGTATTACATTGACACCACATAAATCCATTAAAAAAATCTGTACGTATTACATTGACAACACATAAATCCATTAAAACAAACTGTACGTATTACATTGACACCACATAAATCCATTAAAAAAATCTGTACGTATTACATTGACAACACATAAATCCATTAAAACAAACTGCACGTATTACATTGACAACACATAAATTCTATCCATTAAAACAATCTGTTCCTATTACATTGACAACACATAAATCCATTAAAACAATCTGTATGTATAACATTGACAACACATAAATCCATTAAAACAATCTGTATGTATTACATTGACAACACATAAATCCATTAAAAACAATCTGTAGGTATTACATTGACAACACATAAATCCATTAAAACAAACTGCACGTATTACATTGACAACACATAAATCCATTAAAACAATCTGTACGTATTACATTGACAACACATAAATCCATTAAAACAAACTGCACGTATTACATTGACAACACATAAATCCATTAAAACAATCTGTAGGTATTACATTGACAACACATAAATCCATTAAAACAAACTGCACGTATTACATTGACAACACACAAATCCATTAAAACAATCTGTACGTATTACATTGACAACACATAAATCCATTAAAACAATCTGTACGTATTACATTGACACCACATAAATCCATTAAAAAAATCTGTACGTATTACATTGCAACACATAAATCCATTAAAACAAACTGCACGTATTACATTGACAACACATAAATTCTATCCATTAAAACAATCTGTTCCTATTACATTGACAACACATAAATCCATTAAAACAATCTGTATGTATAACATTGACAACACATAAATCCATTAAAACAATCTGTATGTATTACATTGACAACACATAAATCCATTAAAAACAATCTGTAGGTATTACATTGACAACACATAAATCCATTAAAACAAACTGCACGTATTACATTGACAACACATAAATCAATTAAAACAATCTGTACGTATTACATTGACAACACATAAATCCATTAAAACAATCTGTACATATTACATTGACAACACATAAATCCATTAAAACAATCTGTATGTATTACATTGACAACACATAAATCCATTAAAAACAATCTGTACGTATTACATTGACAACACATAAATCCATTAAAACAAACTGCATGTATTACATTGACAACACATAAATCCATTAAAACAATCTGTACGTATTACATTGACAACACATAAATCCATTAAAACAATCTGTATGTATTACATTGACAACACATAAATCCATTAAAACAATCTGTATGTATTACATTGACAACAAATAAATCCATTAAAACAATCTGTATGTATTACATTGACAACACATAAATCCATTAAAAACAATCTGTACGTATTACATTGACAACACATAAATCCATTAAAACAATCTGTACATATCACATTGACAACACATAAATCCATTAAAACAATCTGTACGTATCACATTGACAACACATAAATCCATTAAAACAATCTGTACGTATTACATTGACAACACATAAATCCATTAAAACAATCTGTACGTATTACATTGACAACACATAAATCCATTAAAACAAACTGCACGTATTACATTGACAACACATAAATCTATTAAAACAATCTGTACGTATTACATTGACAACACATAAATCCATTAAAACAATCTGTACGTATTACATTGACAACACATAAATCCATTAAAACAATCTGTACGTATTACATTGACAACACATAAATCCATTAAAACAATCTGTACGTATTACATTGACAACACATAAATCCATTAAAAACAATCTGTACGTATTACATTGACAACACATAAATCCATTAAAACAATCTGTACGTATCACATTGACAACACATAAATCCATTACAACAATCTGTACGTTTTACATTGACAACACATGTTTATGGAATAACTTTCATCAAGTATGTTTGAGAAACAAAATGATGAAAACCCAAAATACAAACTACTCAAAAACAAAAAAAAAAACAGAAAGGGGTTCATCAAAACAGACAGCAGCCAGAATTATTTTAGGGCAACTTAACGAAATGGACTTATACTTAAAAACCTTAGTTTTAATACGATTCAATAATATATAGACAGGAAAGTTATAGACAAATCTACTCATACAGAAGCATTAGCTACTGGGCTTGAAATCATTAGTTTAATTCTTAAATAGATACAGTATTAACATACAAATGTATATCTTTTTTTCAAGATTTATTGCAGATGAATGGTAAGAAGACCTGATTTAACTTTTGATTTAGTTAACAAGATTAAATGTTAAGTGATTTCAAGTGATTTGTACTTTAATGTTTTTGTTAACTACAATTTTATACTAAAAAAATAAACTTTTTGTTACTAATAATGACAATTGTTATATCTTTTTTATAGACCAGAAAAATAGTTCGAGATAATGTTGATTATTCCAGTGAAAGTGATAAAGAAGAAAAAGAGTCCAAAATGTCTCTTAGCTACAAATCATCGCGTACTGGGGTAAGTACAGTGAAAACTGAACCAACTTTTTATATTAAATACATTTCTTTTTAAAAATTGATTTTTAAAAGAGATGTTTTCTTCCCTGGTAGTATACAAAATGAATGTAAAATTGAGAATGGAAATGGGGAATGTGTCAAAGAGACAACAACCCGACCAAAGAGCAGAAAACAGCCCAAGGCCACCAGTGGATCTTCAACACAGCGAGATAATCCCGCACCCGGAGGCGGGCTTCAGCTGTAGCATTATTAATCATGGATTACTGTCTATAATTAGTTCATTGATAGATAAAATTAAAGAATTTTGCTGTTTCCCTTCATAATCATGATATTGGAAGAATTTTACCCATGCCCATCCATCTGCCATTCAAGAAATCAAACAGTTATACATACTTCTTTCATTATGCCTTATGCCTGCAGATATAAGATATAAACTTGTGTATAATGATGACTTAATGATTGAGTTTACATTTCTTTCCAATTGACTAACATTTTGTAGCCTTATCATCTATTTTTCTTTTTTTTTAAATTTTTGTCAATGCATTAGAATAAGCAGTTTTGTAGTTCCGTAATCGGGTGGAATCAGTTGATTTAAGGTTGTCTTACTGTTATCTGGTGAAAATATAGCTTACAAAAAGTTTGGATCATCACACAAACTGTACTTAATGTGAGACTACTGAAATCTACTCCCAAATAACTTTTCCTCCTGAAATAGTTGAATCTATGGTGTATAGGAGGCAACTCTTGATATTTATCTCATTATAGACATAGGAAAGATATCGCTTTGAAAGAATAAAACTGTCGCATTGGAACACACAAAAAGAAATATTTAAGAAAACTCTGATGTTTTCACAACATTGTCTGTAAACATTAAAGCTATGTTTAAACAAGTTACAGTGTGTGTAAAATGCCAACTTATAAGATAAAGTTTAGAGGCAAATCTTAACTTGGTGATATGTATTAATATATTTTCATTGAGTTTAAATATTACCTTTTTCATTTTATAATTACCGGTAGTCCTTGTCACAACTGTATGTCTGTACGGTAAAACATTGATAAAACAACTAGTGCTGAGAAAATTTGACAATTTAGAATTTGTCCGTCACTGGTAACAAAAATTCTAAAATATAATTAGTCCCCTTTTGCAGCCAAGTGATAATTGTAAAGGCGAGGCCATGAAAATTCTTGTCCAGACTTATTTGTTATATAAAATTAAGGAGATGAGGTATGATTGCCAATGAGACAACTATCCACCAAAGTTCAAATAAAGTGGATGTAAGCAATTATAGGCAACCATACGTCCTTCAACAAAGAGAAAAACCCATACCGTATAGTCGGCTATAAAAGGCCCTGACTTAAAAAATATGAAACAATTCAATTAAGAAAACTAACAGTCTACAGTAATTAATAACAAAACAAGTAACGAAAAACATATATGACAGACATGAACCAACGACAACCACTGAACTACAGGCTCCTGACTTTGGACAGGCACATAAAGAATGTGGCGGGGTTAAACATGTTTGTGAGTGCTCAACCCTCCGCTAACCTGGGACAGTGGTGTAACAGCACAGCATAAAGAACAAACTGTAAGAATTGGTTGAATAAGGCTTAACTCATCAGATCGATACAAAGCAGAAAAACATCATTATGTCTGCTGATCTTGAGCCGATTTTTTGGTACATATATGCATGATTAAAGATTTTGTTTATATTTTGTTCTTGTTGACCAACTTTTTGTGATAAGACAAAAAAATGTGGTAGGGTCTTGTCACATTGACCCATCTAGTTACTTATGTATATAACTTGTTTTGTTATAAAATAATTGATTTACATTATGTTTTTGTAGAAAAGTGAGGGTCCAGGAGACATGGGTGCTACAGCCACGGTTGAAATAGACACTGATTTGAGTGTTGATGCCCAAGCCATTTTTGAAAGATCCCAACAGCTCAGTAAAGTATGTTATTTTATAAACTATATTAGCTTCAGACTACATAATATAGAGATAGGAATTTGAAACAAATTTCACAATATTTAGTAACAAAGTATGGGAATTAAACACAGTTTTGTTACTGAAACATTCAAGGCACACAGTGAATGTACTTTGATCACATGTTGATAATTTGACTGTCATCCAAAAAAAGAAAGTTTTATAAACAGTCATTCTAAAAATTACCATTGAAAAAAATTGAGATTTGAAATTTTCCTCCTTCCATATGGTGACAACTATTACTATATTTGATATTCAATCTGATTACAGAATTTATGTTACTATTATTTTACCTTAAATTTTTAATAACAGTCAATAGCAAACACAGATTATAGTTAGATGAGTGAGATCTCTTTGGAAAAATGTTTCACCTTTTAAATTTGATATGAATCATAGCTATAGAATAGACTAATAAATCAGCAATTTGTTAATGGACATAACTACTGTAGAAACATTAATTTTCGTGTGGTTAAAATTTCGTGGTTATGTCTCTTTATAAGATTTCATGGGGATTTAATTTCGTGGTTTCCAGTAAATGGAAGTGATATTATATGTAGGTTAAATTTTCGTGGGGGTTTTAATTTCGTGGATATATTCTTTCCACGAAATAAACGAAATTAAATCCTCCACGAAAATTTCTGCTTTTACAGTATTTCTAGAAGGTCTTGTGGTAGCTTGCTGGCCTCAAGTGTGGCAGGTCATGGGTTTGAACCCAGGCCGTGTCTTACCAAAAATTTGAAAATAGTATTTGGTATTGTTTATTCTCCTCTAAGCACTCTGCATATAGGAGTAAGGGCAAAGACTGGTCGTCTCACAGTCTGAACAATGTGTGCGATTAGGGTGACATGTCTTTCTGTTGACTATTACCTTGTGAACTAACATGTCAAAAATCAGCTTGACCACCTGGTAGAAAGCAGGGTAAATTTTTATATCACACCAACATGTTATTGGATGATAAGCATGTGATATTTGCCACTGCATTCTGATCAGCAATCCACCATAATCATATCTATCCACATTACCTTCATTTCTTTACCTTAGTTTTGTAGGAGATTAAATAGGACTGTAAATAACATGAATTAACCACAAAACAGTCTTATTTTACTATAACTTTGTTATTTTATAGGAACTGAATGATAAAGAAGATGATAAGATATACAGAGGAATTAACAACTATGCCAAATATATTGAGAAAAAAGACACAGCACAAGGGAATGCTTCTAGTGGCCATGTCAGGTAAAACTTACTCCTAGTGGCCATGTCAGGTAAAACTAACTCCTAGTGGCCATGTCAGGAGAAACTGACTTCTAGTGGCCATGTCAGGTAAAACTAACTCCTAGTGGCCATGTCAGGTTTTACTAACTACTAGTGGCCATGTCAGGTAAAACAATCAACTAGTGGTCATGTATTCAAACTCTATTTGTTATAGAGAAATGGGCCCCAGCTAACATAAGGGCCACATCACAAATAGATCATGAACAATAAATATGTCAAGATTTTAAAGAAACAGGTTACTGTAGTCATGGAGGTATGTACAGTAGTTGATGTATCATTTCATATTTGGATTCATCTCATTGTAGGAAAGGACCAATAAGAGCCCCTGCCCACTTAAGGGCCACAGTGAGATGGGACTACCAACCAGATATATGTAAAGATTATAAAGAAACAGGGTTTTGTGGGTTTGGAGGTAAGGTCTGCATGCTTTGTTGTCATATAAAATGGGGGTTTACCAGGGTAAATATATAGCTCAGTAAAAGGTATTAAAATCGAAATGTTTCAGGTAAAACTAATAAAACTAAGGTTAAGTCATTATCCATCTGTTTCATTCGGTCATTTTTATGCCTTTGCTGTAGCGGAGGGGGCATTAAGCTTTACCCTTGTCCATACGTCTGTACATCCTGAAATTGGTTTCTGTTCTCTAACTTTAGTTTTCTAGTGTTATGCCCTTTACAAATGGAAAAATTGCTGAATTTTTCGTTTCTATTCTCTAACTTAAGTTTGCCTCAACCAAATATTATAAAACTTATACACAAAGCTTATTACCACAAAACGCAGATCAAGTATGAATTTGGGTAGTGTCACTTTTACCGATTTCGTGTTATGTCCCTTTATAACGTTATATGCAAGCGGGGGCACCATCTGTGTCCCATGAACACAATCCCCATTTATTTTTACCTACATTTTGCATTTCAATGACTACATTAGGTTTCACAACCAAGACACTTCTCAGTTACTAAGAAATTACAATCATACAACTTTGTTGGAGGCTGCATCGTAGAGAGTATTATAACAACTTCAAACGAAAAGGTCACTCTGACCTTCAAATTATGCCTCATAGAAATTTAGTGAGTTTTATGTCTAAGTACAGATCATAAAACCTACTATAACATAAAATGGTGAAAGGTTGCATCTTTGTAAGTATAGCAGCCTTCCACAAGAACCATGTCACTGTGACCTTTTTTTCACACTTTATTAAAAATTCTGTTTTATTTTATGTCTGAGTTCTGATTTCCTATAGTTAATGTCCTATACTACTTTAACTGGATGTAAGGATGCATCCTAGGTAGTATAGAGCCACATACAAAACGGTAGCTCATTGGATTTTTCATTTCTTAACTAGATAATAGCTATAAATGTCTGAGTGTAGATTTCAAATACTAGATGACATTTAGTCTAAGTGAGTCAACAGATGTTTCTAGGTTAGTCTTAAAGTGTTAGTTTAGAAGTTTGTCACTATGGTTCACATTTTATGCTTCATAGCTTTATATTAAGTTTTTATACGACCGCAAAAATTGAAAATTTTTTGGTCGTATATTGGTATGACGTTGGCGTCGTCGTCGTCGTCGTCGTCCGGCGTCGTCCGAAGACACATTGGTTTTCGCACTCTAACTTTAGTTTAAGTGGATGGATCTCCATGAAATTTTACCATAAGGTTCAATACCATGAAAGGAAGGTTGGGATTGATTTTGGGGGTTATGGTACCAACAGTTAAGGAATTAGGGGCCAAAAAGGGGCCAACAATAAGCATTTTTGTAACTTCCAGACAATAACTTGTGTGTTAGTGTATGGATCTCTCTGACATTGTACCACAAGGTTCCATATCACAAAGGGAAGGCTGTAATTGATTTTGGGGGTAATTGCCTCAAAATGTTAGGAATTAGGGGCCAAAAAAGGGGCAAAAAACAAGCATTTTTCTAGTTTCATGACAATAACTTGTGTGTAAGTGTTTGGATATTTCTGAAATTGTACTACAAGGTTCCATATCACAAAGGGAAAGCTGGAATTGAGTTTGGGGGTAATTGCCCGAAACGTTTAGGAATTGGGGGCCAAAAAGGGGCCAAAAATAAGCATTTTTCTAGTTTCCAGACAATAACTTGTGTTCAAGTGTATGGATCTCTCTGAAATTGTACTGCAAGGTACCATACCACAAAGGGAAGGCTGAGATTGAGTTTGGGGGTGATGAATCATAAGGGGGTTCAAAAAATTTTGGGGGGGATTTTTTTTTTTTCTTTTTTTTTTCTTTTTTTCCTTTTTTTTTTCTTTTAAAATTTTCCATTTTTAGTTGGTTATTTCTGATTTATATTTAAAAGCAAATAATAATGATATGGTAGGAGATACACACCAAACAGGATGTGTAAATTATTATATAATAAGTATTGTGCAATAGCAAGAAATTTTCAATTGCACAGTATTGCACAATAGCAAGAAATCTTCAATTGCACAGTATTGCGCAATAGCAAGAAATCTTCAATTGCACAGTATTGCGCAATAGCAAGAAATATCCAATAGCACAATATTGCGCAATAGCAAGAAATTGTCAATTGTACAGTATTGCGCAATAGTAAGAAATAATCAATTGCACAGTATTGTGCAAAAGAAGATACTTCGTATAAATTGCTTATTTCTTGATCAATTTCAATGGGGTTTTATTCTTGAATTCTTGGGGTTCTTTAATATGCTGAATCTAACCGTGTATTAAGTTTTTGGACTTTGGGCCCCGTTTTTAAATTGGTCCACATTGAGGTCCAAAGGGTCCAAAATTTAACTTTGTTTGATTTCATCAAAAATTGAATTATTGGGGTTCTTTGATATGCCGAATCTAACCGTGTATTTAGATTCTTAATTTTTGGTTCTGTTTTCAAATTGGTCTACATAAAGGTCCAAAGGGTCCAAAATTAAACTTAGTTTGATTTCAACAAAAATTGAATATATGGGGTTCTTTGATATGCTGAATCTAACCATGTATTTAGATTTTTGATTATGGGCCCAGTTTTCAAGTTGGTCCAAATCGGGGTCCAAAATTAAACTTTGTTTGATTTCAACAAAAATTGAATATATGGGGTTCTTTGATATGCTAAATCTAACCATGTATTTAGATTTTTGATTATGGGCCCAGTTTTCAAGTTGGTCCAAATCGGGGTCCAAAATTAAACTTTGTTTGATTTCAACAAAAATTGAATATATGGGGTTCTTTGATATGCTGAATCTAACCATGTATTTAGATTTTTGATTGTTGGGCCCCGTTATCAACTTTGTCCACATTGAGATCAAAAGGGTCCAAAATTAAACTTTGTTTGATTTCATCAAAAATTGAATATATGGGGTTCTTTGATATGCTGAATCTAACCATGTATTTAGATTTTTGATTATGGGCCCAGTTTTCAAGTTGGTCCAAATCGGGGTCCAAAATTAAACTTTGTTTGATTTCAACAAAAATTGAATATATGGGGTTCTTTGATATGCTGAATCTAACCATGTATTTAGATTTTTGATTATGGGCCCAGTTTTCAAGTTGGTCCAAATCGGGGTCCAAAATTAAACTTTGTTTGATTTCAACAAAAATTGAATATATGGGGTTCTGTAATATGCTGAATCTAACCGTGTATTAAGTTTTTGGATTTTGGGCCCCGTTTTTAAATTGGTCCACATTGAAGTCCAAAGGGTCCAAAATTTAACTTTGTTTGATTTCATCAAAAATTGAATTATTGGGGTTCTTTGATATGCCGAATCTAACCGTGTATTAAGATTCTTAATTTTTGGTTCCGTTTTCAAATTGGTCTACATAAAGGTCCAAAGGGTCCAAAATTAAACTTAGTTTGATTTTAACAAAAATTGAATTTTTAGGGTTCTTTGATATGCTGAATCTAAACATGTATTTAGATTTTTGATTATGGGCCCAGTTTTCAAGTTGGTCCAAATCGGGGTCCAAAATTAAACTTTGTTTGATTTCAACAAAAATTGAATATATGGGGTTCTTTGATATGCTGAATCTAACCATGTATTTAGATTTTTGATTTTTGGGCCCTGTTATCATTTTTGTCCACATTGAGATCAAAAGGGTCCAAAATTAAACTTTTGTTTGATTTCATCAAAAATTGAATTCTTGGGGTTCTTTGATATGCTGAATCTAACCATGTATTTAGATTTTGGATATTGGACCATAATAGGTGAATGTCCAATTTAAAATTTTTAAGTTCTTAGACCACATTCATTCTGTGTCAGAAACCTATGCTGTGTCAAATATTTAATCACAATCCAAATTCAGAGCTGTATCAAGCTTGAATGTTGTGTCCATACTTGCCCCAACTGTTCAGGGTTCGACCTCTGCGGTCGTATCAAGCTGCGCCCTGAGGAGCATTTTATTACATTTGAGATGATTTCACAAAAAGTATTCCGGTTTACCTGCTGAAGGTAGATGGTTCTCTCCAGGCACTGTGGCTCCCTCCATCTACCACGATATAGTAAATAGTGTTGAAAGTGTCGTTAAACACCAGCAATAGATCCTTTAATAGAAATGTATGATATCAATTCAAATGTGTGCAGCACATGTTTTCAGACTAACATTTATCAGACACGCTCAGGACAAAGAACATTTAAAAGCATCAAAGTAAAAAAGGACCATATCAAAACAACCATTATTGTCAAAGGTTAAATTTGCTGGAGGAAATGACACAGCCTAAGATTTAGTACCATTTACAGATTTACAGTTAAAATGTATCACACCACAGTACACAAGCAGTCTCACAAATGCAGTGGTAGTAATACAAATGCACGATAAGGATAATAATCTATGAAAAGTATGGCACATAAAAAATTTAGAATTCATTGTTTAATGTCGAAATTTTTGTTTCATTTGAAAGTCAATTTAGTAATATTCATATTTAAGAAATTAAAATACTAACAAATATATGACCTTTTTGATCAATACATATCAGTATGAATATTAATAATGGGATATGAAATTCCAAACAAATCATAAAGGACAATTGCAACTACTGGAGCAGGGACTGATTATCATAAAGAAAGTTCTTAGTTTACCATCGATCAGTCTGTGGTGAGGTTTGTTTTGCTCAGGATTAAGGAATCAAATATATTTTAGTTACTTCGTTTATTTAAACAGCAATAGAAATAAATGACAAATAAACGTCAAAGGATAGGAATAGCTATGAAAATTATGCTGTCAAACATTAAGACTAGGAAGGAATAAGCCACAACATTTCACAATAGATTTATGTTTTGGAAATTAACTTTTTTGTTGTGAAGTCTGTATATATTGCTATAAATATACATATGTTTGTTACCAATAAATATATTTTCAGACAGTTGTAAGTTCCTCCATGACAGAAGTGATTATAAACATGGCTGGCAGTTAGAAAGAGAAATGGATGAAGGAAGATATGGAGCGAGAGGTAAGAAAAGAAATATCTGATACTGAAATACAGTAAAATTCCTCATAACTATATTTAATGTCCAATATTTTAGGGATATAAATTTTTTTTTATGTAGAATATTTGTGTTTAAGGGATAAGACATTCTGAAGGATTTTATCATTTTATGGACATAAACATTTTATTGATATGGAATATTTAAGATGTTTGTTTGTTTTTGTTTATTTTTATATGGGGACGGTCCTGAAAAGCTTGAATTATTTCTGTTTTAGAGGATATAGACTAGCTATGATTATCTTAGGCATGTAAAAGATGTGGAATATATCTGTTTTGTTATACAGGGTAGCTTTCAAGATATTTGATATTTCGTTCGATTTTGATTGAAATTTATAAATGCACAAAATGTTTATGATAGGTATAGGATGTCTGTATCTTGAACTTGCAAATGAGATGTGACTTTTGCTCCATCTTGAAGGCCTCAATGTCCCTTTGCCCAGGGATTTGTCAATCAGTGTAGATATTTTGTGTCATTAATTGAATACACCATATCATTTTGTTTCCATTTCTATATTTGAATAACGGATGTATTTAATACAGTGTACATACATTTATTTTTCAGATGCCACAAATTATGAAATCAGTTCTGATGAGGAAGATTTACCTTTCAAATGTTTTATTTGTAGAGAATTTTTCACAAATCCTATAAAAACAAAGTAAGTTTCAAGAAAATATTAGAGAAATAATAGTTGTAAGAATGACCTTAGCATTTGATTTTATGAGGATATACTTTCTAAAAATATATTTTTTTGTTTTTAATTCTGGGATTAAGATAGACAATGATAGACATTATGTAAATATTCATCTAATACAATACTGATTTCAATTCATCTATTTTCTAGAGGTACACTTGAGAGTAAAATGTCAAATAGCCAAATACTATATAAAGCTTAAGCTCACATGTTGAAAATCTAAACTTTATCTATCTTGAAGTGAAGGATATAACTCTCTCTCAACAGAGGGAGAATCTGCATCTATAAAATCTAAACTTTATCTATCTTGAGCTGAAGGATATCATAACTCTCTCTCAACAGAAGGAGAATCTGCATCTATAAAATCTAAACTTTATCTGTCTTGAGGTGAAGGATAGCATAACTGTCTCCCAACAGAAGATCTGTATCTATAACATCTAAACTTTATCTATCTTGAGCTGAAGGATATCATAACTCTCTCTCAACAGAAGGAGAATCTGCATCTATAACATCTAAACTTTATCTATCTTGAACTGAAGGATATCATAACTCTCTCTCAACAGAAGAAGAATCTGTATCTATAAAATCCAAATGTTCTAAAATTTCTATTCACTTCTTTCCTATATGTCCATGTTACAGTACATCAAAGACATCTTCTTAAAGTTTAATATCACTGGAAAACAGTTTTGAAACCTTTATGTATAATATATACAAGTGCGTGACAACACTATGTAAAGTCTAGTAGATTCAAGTTTCACAGAAACCCATATAGAGATATAATCTGTATTTTTTGTTTGACATTTCATATATTTCAACTCAAATGATCATTTTCTATTACAGGTGTCAACATTATTTTTGTGAAAAATGTGCATTATCTCACTATAAGAAGTCAAAGAGATGTTTTGTGTGTAATGAGCAGACAAATGGAGTGTTTAATCCAGCAAAAGGTAAACACTTTAATGATATAGTTTTAAGTTTAAGATTGTTGCATTTATGTCAAAAATATTACAAAACTTACATAATTACAAGCAACATCAAGATTTTAGATTTGACATAATGTTGAATTCATGCATAAAACATCTCTCATTTTTTTCCTTTGAATCTGTTTTTAACTGTTTGGCTTGTCAAAACATTACTCTTTATAACATGACAAAAGAGGATGCAACTATTTTAGTGACTGTGTTGTCATTCTACTTTGTAAAATTTGAAGAAAGGGGAATTCTGTTTTACCCTAAATTTGTGTGGTTCGTTGTTTTTTATAAATTTCGGATTTACCGTTTCCGAGTTTTGGGGTTTTATTCATTAAAAAAGGGGGGATTTTCCAGTTTGTGGACAATAACTCAAAAACAATTTCACCAATTTGCAAGAAACTTTGGTGAATTGTTTATTTCTATTGACATGAGCTCCCGTTTGATTTTTATAAATTTTAGACCATACGTTTCCGATTTATGGGGTTTTATTCATTACAAAAAGGGGGATTTTCCAGTTTTGGGACAATAACTCAAAAATGCTTTCAGCATTTTTTATGAAACTTTGGTGAATTGTTTATATCTATTCAGTATTGATGTAAGCTCCCTTTAGAATTTTATAAATTTTACATTTTACATTTCCGAGTTATGGGGTTTTATTCATTAAAATTGGTGGGATTTTCCAGTTTTTGGACAATAACTCAAAAACAATTTCACCAATTTGCAAGAAACTTTGGTGAATTGTTTATTTCTATCGACATGAGCTCCCTCTTGATTTTTTTTAATTTTAGACTATACGTTTACGATTAATGGGGTTTTATTCATTACAAAAAGGGGGATTTTCCAGTTTTTGGACATGTAAGCTCCCTTTTGATTTTTATAAATTTAAGATTTTACGTTTCCGAGTTATAAGATTTTATTCATAAAAAAAGGGTTGATTTTCAAGTTTTTGGACAATATCCTTAAAGTGCTTAGAGCAGTTTTCATTAAACTTTGATGACTGATTTATATCTATTAAGATAACCTCCCTTTAGTTTTTTATAAATTTCTGATATAATATTGAGAAGTTATTGTTTGTCTATAGTCTGACAACAGATTTACTAAGTATTGCGCAACAGCACAGTGTATTGCACAACAGCAAGAAATCTTTAATTGAATATAAATTCAATTCATATAACCAATTTCAAGTTCTTTGACTACATTTATTCAGAAACCTATAATATGTAAATTTTTTAATTACAATCCAAAATCAGACCTGTATCAAGCTTGAATATTGTGTCCATTTTTGCCCCAACTGTTCAGGGTTGGACCTCTGCGGGCGTATCCAGCTGCGCTCAGCGAAGCAGTTTATTGATTAAGCTGTAGTCCAATCAACTTGAAACTTAGTACACATGTTCCCTATGATATGATCTTTCTAATTTTAATGCCAAATTAGAATTTTGACCCCAATTTCACGGTCCACTGAACATAGAAAATGATAGTGTGAGTGGGGCATCCCTGTACTATGGACACATTCTTGTTATTGATTTATTCTTGATTTTAGTATGTTGTTGAAATACTTAAGGCATTTATTCCAAAATTTTTGGACTGACATATGACAGCTTTTGAATAGAATATTAAATATTAGAATTATTTTCAAAAAATATTTTTAAAACTAAGCTTGTCATTTGGGCCTATATATATTTTTTTTTTATCTCTCGACTTAAACATGATATTTAGTATGTGGTGAATAACCACAAGATTAAGCGTTGCACTCTGTTGTGACTGACATCAGGCCTTGACTTATGACTATTGATGATTGTTGTTCTTGTTCACTTTATACAGCTATGTCTTCAAATTAAAATCAAAGGGTTGTATTTGTTTTAGTTCATTAACATAATTTTTATATGACATTTTATTATATTTTTTGCAGATTTAATGTCCAAAATTGAAAAAATTAAAGCAAAGAAGGCTGGATATGACTCAGATGAAAATAAACACAGTGATGCAACAAACAGTGACAGTGATAATGGTTGACCAATCACAATTCAGATAACAATGACAATTGTTGACCAATCAAAAACATCTTCACAGTGAATTTTATGACATATTCAAATCGCTTTTAACAAAGTGCTTTGTAAGGTTGCATAAATGTTCATATATTGTAAATGGATTGCATCATGGTAAAATTAGCTGTTAATATTAAGATTTGTTTGGCCTCAATGAGGCAATTATGTATGTAACATGTTATAGCCCAATCACTTTTTTTAATAAATATGATTTTGTTAAAGATTTTTTTTAATTGTGATATGTAGTGCAGAATCTTTACATATAATGTTGAAATTGCAATGATAGCGATACAAATTGACATGAATTGGATGCAATATCTGATTACCATAATATTATAGCTGTTCTACAGTTTTTGGGCAGATAAGCTGCCATATGCTAGCACAACAGATTTGCTTTTTTCCTGAGGAATACTGAAATAGGTGCCATTGTCATTATCTAGCTGGCTGGTAGGTTATTTATAACTAATTGGACATTTTTTTCATACTTTTAATTCTTGAAAAAACAAAAGATAAGTCTAGAATAACCTTAAAGGGGCACTAGCTGTCAAATTCATGTTCACCGATTTGACTCAAATTCTCATATTTGTTATATAACAATGTAAAACATTTATCCAAATTATAAAAAATCTAAAATAAACAATTTACAGGGCATAGGGTCGATAATATGTAGCTTCGTTTTGTGTGTATTTTAGTCTAGACGCCATCTTATTGACTGTCGAGTTGACCTCCCTTAAACCACTGATGCCCATATAAGGGATATAAACATAAATAAAGATATAAATAGATAGTGTAACTCATGCAATTGGATTCTTCTAGATCTATTTAATTTCATTTATAGATTAAAAATATATGTTAATCATCATTTTTACCTGTATAAGAATGATTTTTTTGAGGATCGAATCAGTCAATTAAATGAATTACCTTTGTTTACTTTCAATGTTGACATTTTTTTTCTTTCAAATAATCAAACATGCACACAAGTCATGCGTTATCCAACTCTATCTAAGGGGTTAAATTGAAGTTCACATGAATACGGATTCAATGAGGTCGAATTATTCACTTGCAAGTGAATAATTCATCATCAATATTTAATTGCTTATTTTGACAAAATTAGACAATACTGGCTGCTAAAAGCGAATTATTATTTCACTATTCCACTTTCATTAATGATTGAACAAAAAAAATCATATTTAGAATTTTTTTATATCTTGTAGCTAGTGCCCCTTTAAATGATTGTCGAACAATCCAAATTAAATGATGTTGGACATAGGAAATAGTGCTCAATCGAAAGTCTTACATTGTTTTTTATCTTCTCTGCTTTTGATAAGGATGTTAACGATCAATTGTATGAAATATTTTCATCGCCAAAAACTTTCTATATACAAGTCGTTTACATTTATAAGTCCTGGCTTTGATCATGGCCAGTTCAAAGACCTTAAAAAAAAAACGGCAGGAGCTAGTACACTGTTTATGTCAACTGATGACTAGTCTTTTAAGATGTAAGCTTGTAAACTAGCTCATTAAATAAATATTCAGTGTGTTGGTCATGAACAAAGCAAGATTCATGATCATAAACACAACAATATTCTTATCCATATTAGCATTATAAAAACTTTATTTTCATATGATGAAGACATTATCTTTCAATCAGTTTAATTGAGGTCTGAAGCTGGCATGTCAGTTACTGCTAGTAGTCCTTTGTTAATTTATGTATCATTGTCATTTTGCTTAGTTTCTTTTGTTACCTATTCTGACATCGGACTCTGACTTCTTTTAACTGAGTTCAACTGTGCGTATAGCTGTGTGTTTCTTTATTCTACATTGGTCAGAGGTATAGGGGGAGGGTTTAGATCTCACAAAACATGTTTAACCCCACAGCATTTTGCGCCTGTCCTAAGTCAGGAGCCTCTGGCCTTTGTTAGTCTTGTACGTTTTTTAATTTTAGTTCATTTATATGTTTTGGAGTTTAGTATGACGTCCATTTTCACTGAACTAGTACACATTTTTATTTTGGGGCCAGCTGAGGACCACCACAGGGTGTGGGATTTTCTTGCTGCGTTGAAGATCCATTGGTGGTCTTCGGCTGTTGTCTGCTCTTTGGCCAGGTTGATGTCTCTTTGACATATTCCCCATTTCCATTTTCAATTTTAAAAAGTATTTTGTGAAAAAAATGAAACGTAAGATTTAGCCTTCCCATTAAACTCACTAAACCACCATTCCATAAATTCCCTTCATAGATACACTGGCTTTTTTCAAATGATTTAATTGAGACACGCATACATATACATTGATTGGTTGATTGTTGGTTGCTTAACATCTAACGGCAAATATTTCATGCATGTTCAGGACGAGAACAAATTAACAATAAATACAATAGGTAGGTCCTGTAATAGAGGCCATCCGGGACGAAATTCAGGAAATTAGGGCTGCAATGGGAAAATGAGGGTAAATTGGATAGGGATATAAATTTAGCCTTGCAACAGGCCACCTTTGGACCCCTCAAACAGTTTTTGCAAGTGTTCTTAACGTGCAAAGAACGTGGCACTCTCACGAGGCATCAGATTTTTTAAATGCTGGTCGGAGGAACCAATGGTGACCATATTTCTATTCCCTAGTCACCCTTGGGGGTCATACATGTACATACTCTTCTAAGACATTGAATCTTTATAAAAGGAAACATACTTTGAAGTAATTTAAAATCTGTTAATCGATCTCTGAAAAGTGTGTAGGATAGTTGAAAACAATACAGTACAGAAAAATGTTGATACGTGAGATTTAACAATCTGTGATAAATAATTAAACCAACTTTTCCACAATTAACATTTACACTTTTGCCTAGGTTTTCGATTAACTTCCCACAGTGCTCACAGTGCTTTGATTTTATGCCCATCAACACCAAAATAATCATTTTATATGTTTTACTTTCCTCTATCAAACATGTTTGGTTACAACCTAAAGGAGCCATTAAGGTTTTTGGCCCAAGAAAATAAAATGTTTGACAACGATTCCAAATTAGCACATAATGTTTGGAAATGCATAGAGTTAAGAAATATAAATGAAAACATTAGATTTTTTATCTGATGATGTCACAATTACGTCATAATATGTACAATTTTCATGAAAACGATGAAAAATACAGAATTTATGCAGTTTTCATCGTTATTTCCATCATGGAAATATCGTGCGCAGCCAAGAAACAACAAAATGATTTAAGAGAAGCTTTATTATAACTATTGACATAATCTCACTTATTGAATATAAAGTTGTTTTTTGGATACACCCATTCTTTGCCAATCTAAAATATACTTTAAATTTGACTAAAAACAAGGAAAATCAAGAAATTTTACAAAGTATAGAAATTTCGTCATAGTTTGTTGCCATGGTAACTAGTTAAATGTAAAATTTGTTTTTATTTTCTGAATATCTTGAACCTTAGTCTAGTTAGGACAAGTTTAAGAATATGTAAGATAACTTTTAAATTTGCATTTATATTTGGGCCAAATAAGGGCCTTACTCCTTTGATTTAACATTGCTTTTAACACAATAGAAAATAAACGATATGGTGTATTAATGTTGGGTTTATGAAGCCAGGAAGCTTTTCAATATTTTTGTTTATTGACTGGGATTACCTGTTTACCTGCCAAAGGTTGATGGTTCTCTCTTATTACCCAGGTTGCTCCCTGGTAACTCTGACCTGCTCCACTAATAAAAACTGGCTCCCATGATATAACCAAGAGTGCCGAAAGTGAAATTAAACATCTACAATCAATCAATCAATCAAATATTTTTTTCAGATTTGGAATCCTGAAATTTATAAAGATTAAGGTTTTTGTCCAAAATGACAACCTTACTCCCTATTTTGTCAATTTCATTTTCTTCTTTTACACTGAGTAATAGATCCTAAATAAAATTGAGAATGGAAATGGGGAATGTGTCAAAGAGACAACAACCCGACCATAGAGCAGACAACAGCCGGCGGCCACCAATGGGTCTTCAATGCAGCGAGAAACTCCCGCACCCGGAGGCGTCCTTCAGCTTATTTTTTATCCGTTATGAGCATGCCTCATGATGTCACAGGTTTGCTTGATTGGACATTAACAAAAAGTTTTAATCACTGTTCAGTTCTGTAGACTCTTGGTCCCTTTTTAACAATTGTTTTAAAATTTCCCGTTGATGAATTAAGAAATTATTAAGAAACTAAGGTTCCAACTCTCTCATGCAAAGTTGACTTTAGATGAATTTATCTAATAGAAAAACGAGGGACATCCATGACACAAAATCAGTACCTGCACAACAAAAACACACATCTGTCGAAGGCACACGCTTTATAAATGTTATGTTCATTAATCAGGGTCCAGCAATTAATTGCATTTGTCCTATATTCCATCCATCTGTGTTTGCATTGGTATGGTCATCCAGTTAATGGTGTCTGCTTTATATAGTGCCCTTGCAAATAATTGAAGACACTTGTTTAAGCTTTCCATCTTTTTAAGAAATCAGACGTATAATGTGATTCTATGTTGTTTGTTGGTGTTATTTTTTTGTTGAATAATGTTTCTTGATATTTTCTTTTTGAAATTTTAAAATTGGGAACTGCTGTACATAGTCCCTACTGATATATATATATAAAAGAAGATTTGGTATGATTGCCTTGAGACAACTCTCCACAAGAGACAAAATGACACAGAAATTAACAACTATAGGTCACCGTACGGCCTTCAACAATGAGCAAAGCCCATACCGCACAGTCAGCTATAAAAGGCCCCGAAATGACAATGTAAAACAATTCAAACGAGAAAACTAACGGCCTAATTTATGTACAAAAAATGAACGAAAAACAAATATGTAACACATAAACAAACGACAACCACTGAATTACAGGCTCCTGACTTGGGACAGGCACATACATACAGAATGTGGCGGGGTTAAACATGTTAGCGGGATCCCAACCCTCCCTCTAACCTGGGACAGTGGTGTAACAGTACAACATAAGAACGAACTATAACAATCAGTTAAAAGAGACTTAACTCATCAGATGGATAAAAATACAAATACTACAAACACAAGTGGACGTGGCCGGGTACTTGTACACCCAAACAACAAAAAGACACTAAGTATAGATCTGAGAGTACTCGCAGTTACTGACATCTAGTTCAAATCCATTAACAAATAATAAAAAAAATCATGCATCTAAGACTAAATTATCAATCCGTACACATCC